ATGGAGATAACGTCTTTCTCGACGGGATATACGTGGAGGTTGACCAGGCCGAGGCTTAGATTGGTTGTTGCCAGTCATGTTGTACCGCTGGATTGTCTTCTGGATTGTGCGACGTGAACAGCTGAATTCTTCTGCCAGTTCCTTGGTAGTACAGCCTGCCTCTGCCTTGGAGACAATACTATCCCTTTGGCGAACAGACAATTCACCACCTGGGACGCGATCTCCTGAAATTTCAGCTCCAAAAGCCCTCATTGTGGTTGTGCAGTAGCGGGTTGAAGTTGTGATGTTGGTCATTGCATTTGTGGTGGTTGGGGTTCGGCCCGTGCGCCGCGAACAGATTAATGCCTTAGTACAGTAGTTCGAAATCGTTGAGAATGTCCTCCCCAACATTGCTACTAGCGGTACCCCAGATTTTAAGCTCAGACTAATCCACCTGTTTCTCCACACAGACACTGAGAGGGTACGTTCGTTCCTATCAACATGTGGAATCTGTTGCTGTCGTTCAACACATACGTGAACTGTGAAGCATGTGCAGGGCCATCTGTAGTGAGTTTTTTGTCGTGTCATTCGTTCTGCATATCCAGTTCGATCGTATCCAGGGTATAATCGTTGTGTGCTCCATAACGCCAATGCTAACTGCAAGGTCAAGGAGAATGAAACCTTATCGTCATCGATGCCTTCGAAACCATAATGGTTTTGGATTACCGCTCAGAGCTCCGCCTTGGGCTTCGACTCATCTGTACCCTCCTTGTCGACCACAACGAAATCATCATCTGACACTTCCTCAGTCCTCTGCTTCTTGTGTGAAGGTTGCTCGGCGTCATCGACATCCACGGGCTCATCGGTCGGAGCATCAGGGAGCTGTGAAAGGACCTCGGTTGTCGCTTCTGTACCTTGTTCCTCCTCTTGCTCTTCCTCTATGTCATATTCAAGACTGGTTTCTGCCTTGAGACCGGTCTGGTTTGCAGGAGGGAAGAATGTACTGTTCATATGTGAGTGCATTATAGGAAACAGAGTCTCGTGCAACTTACGGTATGTTCTTGAAATACGCATCCTCATCTTTCTGTAGGAAGTTGCAGAAGATGACACGGTCAAGCTCGTCTGCCTTCTCACCCTCTTCCAAGAACCTGCGCACGGTTTCCAACGCAACCAAGCTCGCTTCGCCGCTGGGGTATCCGTACACCCCCGTGCTCAACGCAGAGAACGCAATGCTCTTGCAGCCATTGTCAACGGCCAGCTGCAGACTAGTCTTGTAGCAGCCGGCCAGCAATCTCGCCGCCTCATCCTTGTTCTTGTTCCAGTAGATGGGTCCCACAGCATGTATGATCTTGTCGGCGGGTAAGTCGTAGCCATCCGTGATCTTGGCGCTGCCAGTCTCGCAGCCACCAAGTGTGCCGCACTCGTCCAGGAGCTCTGGACCTGCTGCGCTGTGAATAGCGCCGTCGACGCCGCCTCCACCAAGCAATGACGTATTCGCAGCGTTTACGATCGCGTCGACAGCGAGTGTGGTGATATCCTGGCAAATGACGCTGATTCTGTCGTTGTATACGGCGTTTGGCTCGTATTCTGGAGGGCTGTCTGCAGTGGGTCCGATCTTCTTGAGCTTGTAGAGCAGCGTCAATGTCGGTATCTCGTCGAGTGGCACAGAGGACGCCATTTTGGACTGGCCGCTGAAGGCGTTGCTGGGGGGCTTTGCGAGGTAGTAGGCACTTGTCATTGCGCGTTTGGTGAGGAAACGAAACATGCAAGTGTGGTGTTATCAAAGAACGGATGCTGCAGTGGCGTGTCTGGGAAAGAGCTTATGCGGGGGCGGTGGGGTCGGTGGCCCTTGCGCAAGCTCTCTAGCGCATCTGCTTTCACCAACACTCAGGTTTGCGTTCTCCACAATAACGAACCTCAGCGAGTTACTGCTTTACATTACCGAGAAGAAAGTGACACTGTATCGTTCCTAGTCGTTAAGTTAACGGATCAACAACGACTTTCAAACTGGTGCACAATGCCCGTAGAATGTTTACGTCCAGCCTCAGATTCGAAAATCGCCTTCTTCAACATCCCCCTCTCAGGCTTCTTCGAGAGTGGCATGTCTTGTAAGGCTTGTATTACAGTCTTGGAATGCTTGGATCGCCTGATCAAACGCCATGCCTGACAAGCCCCGACTGCGTTACGGCACACCACGGAGCCACCTACGAAGTTTGCGGGCGGTCATATGCTGCAATTTTGGTTATGGTACGCGTACTACTGAATGAAATGTTGTAGACATCATCAACGGTCATGTATGAACAGGCGTTGTGAGCCGAATTATTGACTACCACCGACATGGGAAGTCCCTATACGAATGAAGCTCTCAACTTCTTTGACGCTAGCTTCCCCGTTCTCACGGATGAAGATAGCTTGGGGAAACGGAAGTATCATGGAGACAATGACTTCGACGATCTCAGGGCCTTCAGCCTCATTACGTCACCTGCAAATGTCCTGGGTTGTAATTAAATGCAGTTTTTGAAGCCTGATCACTCGGAAAGCAAGCGCATGAGACGATGTAGTCAACAAATAGCATCATCAGTTTGGTTTCAGCATTGGTTTCAGCATTGGTTTCAAATCTGGAGTCACCACGTATATTGGTGTTTGATGGTGATTGTTTCTATAGGCACCAGCACCTGTGTCTATCTAATCATTGACTTACCAGAAATACAAGCCCGCGCGGTGTTGCACCTACACCATGTCTCGGCTGCCGTCGTAGCATGTAAGCTTGTTGTGGATGATCCAGAGTAACATGACTAAGACCACAACAACGGAAATAACTATGCTAATTATGAAACCAACAGGAAGAGGCTCCATATCTTGCGATGTAGCTTTTGAGTGGTGGGTGAGGGGTTTGTTGAACGGCTAGTTGCGAGTTGTGACTTCGTGTCAATGACTTTAAAATGCAATTGTCTGATTTGTCGAGGGAAGCATGTCCAGTTTGAGATGAATGTGACACCGTAGAAGAAATCTCAAGTAAATACTTTCTGGTGATGACGTGAATAAGGACGTTGTGAAGGCCCACTTAGATGATCTAATCAAAAAACAGATGTGTTCTACACACATGGACAATGTTGCAAATTGTATTTGGAATAAAAGTGAAATGCAATGTCCGTTGCCGGTTGCTGTCCAGCATCGTCTAATTACAGTATGGCGGCGTGGGGTCGCCGGTAGAATAAGGTGGAATACTGCGCTGAGTTGCTATCCAGCTAGGAGAAGAGGACTATATACCTTACCTGTAACACACTAGACTAGGGTAGTATGTTATAAGTATAGTCAGGCCTTATACGGACCGGTTGATACCGTAACTTACAGTATCAACACAGCGTTTGTGTTGCGGATCGTGAGTGATCAGTACGCATGTGCGGAAATATTGAAAGATTGAACTGAGGTGGGTGAAGCTACGAACAGTATATATAGGTGAGTAGCTATAAACAACACTAGTGTGACGTGGCAGTCACTCTCATGGCAAGTGAGGTTCGACAGGCAGGAGCACCCCAAACCGTGACAGTTTGTGGTGCTTGACAGTGTTCCAGAGGTAAAGGAAGCATGACAAACTAAACGGGTGTTTGCGTAGCGAATTCTGCTGGGTGGAATGCAGAAGAATCTGTCAGAACTTGTAGTCGTTGTAGTCGTCTCTGTATAGTCGGTTCAGTACGTTCTGCAGATGTCGATCGTTGTTTTGACTGGCGTATGCTAACGCTTGTTGGTGCACGTAATCGCCGCATGTCCATACTCGGTTCTTTAGTACCAGATCTACACACTCTTTGTTGGTCGACTGTACGGCAAAGGCTAATAGGAAGTGCTCGTTGTTGATGTCGATCATTGTCCCAATGGGATTGGCTTGCGACCTCTTGACACGAAGATTTAGGAGGTAAGCAAGCACTTCAACACGACCATTACGTGCTGCAATAGCCAGAGGGTTGTGTCCATACTTATCAGCCTGGAAAGGATCGAAGTCTTTGATGTCGACATACTCGGTGTCGAAATCGGGGGCCAGCATGTCCATCATGCCGAAGTGAGATCCGCGAGCTGAGTACCAGAATGGTGTGCGTTCTAACTCATCGACGCAACTGAGTGTATGAGAGTACCACCGGTCTGTAAGCAGGCGAAACATGATTTCAGTGTGCCCATGGCATGCTGCGATGTGCAACAGCGTGAGACCATTCAGACACGTCAGGTACCGATTTGCTCCAATCTCGAGTAGTGTCACAGCGTCGGCCATACCGCCCTGGCGAACTATCGTATGCAGCATGGTACGACCGAGTCTGTCGGCATTGTTGATGCCCTGCCAGGGTATTTCGATGATTCGGGGACCACTGGAAAAGTGGAAGATGCATCGGAATGCGACTACAGGTTCTTCGCGCACGTTAGAACATGTTCCATCTCCAAGTTGTATCTTTGGTGCTTTGGAACGTATAGTCTCCCAATTCACGGGCACCCCAGCATCGTAGAGAATTTGGAAGTTGGATCTACCAAGGTAGTCCGGGCGAGGGTTGTACAAGGTTTGTTTCGCGAAAGCCGAGTTTTGTAGGAGTATTTTCGGCGTGAACATCTGGTTTCCTTGTAAGAAGGCCGGAACTGAAAGATGGCCTTGACACAACAGGGTTTCGATATCCTTGGCAAACTGATTCTTGAAAGCAGGCATGTTCTTTTTTTCATATTGCGTCCAAGTCACACCGTGTTGCATGAGCTTTATCAGCAAGATGTAAGAAAGGCTGGTATGGCCGTTGAGAGTGTAAAAAGCGATGGTAGTACGGACTTCTTTCAGTGAAACATCATCGGTACCCCAGGTAAGGTCCTCGCGAAAGAGTGGAGTCTCTAGGGTGTTGACAGCCTCTAAAGCACCGCAGTAGATGGGTCCACTGCCCACAATTCGCGCTCTCGTCAGTACGGCACTAGCGAAGTTTTTGATCTCTTCGACTGTGTCCTGAAGCGCGGGTATGCTATCCTCCTGCTTTTCGCGGAGTGGGTCGCGCCGATATGGTTGTACCATGTCAACGGCAAGTTCGATCATCTCCTTGACGGCCATCAACAGGAGTGCGCGTAGGCTCAGTAAGAGTATCCTGAAATCGGTCAGTGAAGCGTCACTCATAATCTGGTGTTGTGGGCACCAACGCTTCTCCAGTATCCTGGTCCTCATTCGTATATGGCTCCAAAGTCGTTGATGTCAAATTGTACCCCGTAATGCAGAGTGAACTCAGGCTCTCGGCGTCTGGCTGTGCATGCTGTACATAAGGGTGCTCGGCGTTTTCTTGACGTAGCTCCCGCATTTTCCGTTTCTTCGGTGCCAGCTGTGGCTCTGAACATGGCAGGTTTCTCTGTCGACAAAATTCGCATCGGTTTGGCCATGGACCATACTTGTATGAGCACTGAAGCCAGTCAGCACGATCCTACATCTGGGCGACATACACTGTCGGCCTACTTTCTGTTTCGCCTCTCGACAAGATGTACATTTCTCTACAGTCTTGCGTCTCATTGGCGGTGGTTCATCGAAGATATGTTTCGATGCTAAAACTTTGGGCGAACCCATTAAAGATGGGACTGTAACCTTGAGTGGGCTGTGGTATCATGGACTCAGGAGAGACCTCGGAGCTATATTTCTACGAAAAGCAGGCACTGTGTAACGATGCTGTGTTGGAACAAAACTGACCAATGACGCATCGAAGCGGATGCAGGAAGGCGTTCCCCGGTATGCCATGCCCTCGTTCTGCAGGAAGGAGGACCTTCACTACATTTCAGCGCTAGGATTAATATGTCGAAAAAGATAGCTGCACAAGAAATGCTGAAGTGTTATACCTGTCTGGACTGCTTCAGCATCGCTGGGAATGCACCTTGTTGCAGCAAAAAAGTGTTATAGTCCTCAGATACCTACACAAAAATGCGAGAGACTCGAAAATGGAAGTCGTAAAGAGCCGGACGTCATTCTCAGACCGACTGTTCTGGTAGCACAAGAACCTCTTCCAAAACAACGGGCGTCGCCAACGCACATATTTTTGCGCTCATCTTTATGCTCCCGCATGTCGCGCACATAGGCAGACGTTCCGCTGCGCCTTGTTGTGGCCCTTCTCGAAATTTGGGATGCGAACGCACGAGGCTGGCCAATCGCGCATGTGTGCAGGAAGCGCCAGCCCCCAACGTGCGCGGAAGGCTGCCCACATGCGCTCAGCCAATCCCATGAATTATCGAACGGTGCGTCTAGAGTGGATCTTCTTTTACCTGTAGCAATACGTGTCATTCCATCTTCCCCGACGCGCGAAGTTCGCATGATAATCATCGAATTTGCCCTCACCGTGCTTTGGAAAGCGATTTTGGGACAGCCACAGTGAGAAGCATCGAATTACGCTTATTACGCAAGAAAACTTGTTGTGAATTTGCGAGATGAGCCTTTTTGCGGTCTGCTGGGGACAAATATCGTGTCGTTAAATCAAACGAGGACTAGCGAGCGGTACAGCTCTCTTTCGAGGCCTGAAATATGGATGTATGAGGCCACTTAAATGGTCTGTAGTCAGCTAGAAAATCTTTGAGTGTCTTCTCATGTCTTTTATGTGTGGATTTGTCGGGTACCCACGAAATTCGCCCATTCTCTTTACGAAGTTAGTTGTCGAAGAGAACCTTGGTTCCTATCAGACAGCTACTCTATTCTGAGACATCATTGTCATGCCTGTTGCATCGAAGAGTCGTACAATCTTGATGACAGAATCAACAACGATGCTGCTTCGCGCCTACGCAACAGCCGCCTACCACTCCGAAACTGATGCACACGTCGTCACCAATTCTTCGGGTAACGATATGGACATCTTGGAGGCATCCTTTGCAGGGCTTTCGGTACTTGTCGGAAGCCTCGCTCTCGTGATCGGTCTCCTGCAGCTGCTCCGATGCCGCAGACGCCGTCTGTTATCAGGAAGTACTGAGGTTCGAGCGACCTTGCCAGAGGTGATGATTGCGCCCTCCATACAAGACCCCACCTTGCTAACACGGATGCAGGTCTAAATCCACGAGAGGCACGAAACGGCTGAAAGGTGTGAGAGATTTGTCGTAAGGAGATAGAACTGAGTAACAGTGTTGGTATCCTGAGGTTTGTCGGCTTTTGTTTTGGTGCGGTCCGTCTCAGAATACGCTGTCTGTCAGGAAATACGGTGGCAGCGACGGTATGTTCAACGTTAGTGGAATAGCAGTCCCTTGATTTTCGAGGCCGTTATGCAGTATTTGACCAGTGGTGAATGTCCATTGCGTATGTTGAGTAGCACGCGCCCCATACCTAATCAACGTCTCGATGCACCCCTGCTTGTTGTCTTGGATGGCAATATCTAGAGCTGTTTTGAAGTCTGTTCCGTAGCGTGCCTTCAATACGATTCGTCAATCGCCCGGTTCTAAGCCGAGGTTCAGGAGGTAGTCACCGACTGGTGCGTAGCATTGATTGATAGCGAGTAAGAATGGAGTGAGACCCCGGAATTTTCGATCAATATCTGCATACAGCTCCAACAATGCCATCAAGGCGATATATTCGAATCGTATAGCGTACCAGAAGGCAGTCGGTCGATCTGTCTCGGTATTTGAATAGTCGAGGAAGGCTAGATTGAGTTGCCGGAAGTGCTCGACGAGGTAGTTGACCACTTCGGAGTAGCTGTTGTAGACAGCAGCATTAATCGATACCTTATGAGCTCAAATAAACATGAGTGTCTTCAGGCTATAAGTTTCGCAGATCAAATCCACGAGATCAAATTGCCCACAGCCTGCGGCTATTGTGAGACCGGCCAGATCATCTTCGTCCACTGATCTCATGACAGCGTCCCAGATCATTGCCGGTGCTCTGCGTAAAACTTGAAATATGCCAATCTTTTCTTTCGCGGCTGTTATACGAACAGCGAAAGGTGTAGATGTGTAGTTACCACGCTATTTACCTTGTGTACACGTAATACCCTCTTAGAGATCGCGCAGGATTCGGTAGTCATCTGTGCAGCAGGCCAGATCCCACTGAGCACGACCAAAGATGTCGACACTGATGCTGATTGTCTCGATATCTTGGCCAACTCAAAGAGAACGAAATCCAGAATCGGTAACCATGCCTAAGACAGATCCCAAACAAGCCGGGCGGCCGTCTGCAAGTACGTCATCCCTAACCAGAGGAACATGCCACAAAGCCTCGGGCACAAAGAGCCGACTTCCAAGCAAATCAATGTCGAAGAACTCAAGTTCGAGTAGAAAAGCTGGTATATGGAGGTTGAAGTGACGTACCGTGTTTGGCCACTCCTCCAGCAACATGTGCCTACATCTTCGAAGACCCTTATAGTCAATGATGCGATGTGGCAAAGGTGTCAGCGACTTGATTAGAAGGATGTAGACCATACCAAAATGCCTAGTCTCATCGTAGTAGGATATGATTCTCGCTACGTCAGAATCGTCAAGGTGCTCTATCGCACGATAGTTGGTTGCCAGATCGAAGGTAGCTGACAAGATCTCAGAGGCTGTGTTCTGCACGATCTCAGCTTGAAGCGCTTTGATGACGGCTTTGTAGGCCCTAGCACGCGAGTAAAGGAGATCAAGTAAATGTTCCACTTCGATGTCGCCGTCGAAGCCAGCCTCCAGTCCCTTCTGAACAGTGCAGAATCCATCGAGCGCCATTTCAATCAAACACGCGACGCCTAGAAGAACAGGTCTAGTGTCATTGTTAGCGGTTGACCTATACCGTAGCTCCCATTCGACAGAAAGAGCCGAATTCCACAGCTGACCCTTTCCCAATTTATGGGAGGAAGCCAACGCAGCTTCACGTAGGTATTTCAAGCTGGGAGGTAGACAAAAGACTACAGAGTTGTAGCGGCGTGGGCCGCTGTAGAATACTGATAGCTACAGTAAACGATAACTTAGGACTATCGGGTCGATGGAATACTGCGCTGAGTTGCTATCTAGTGAGGAGAAGACGACTATATACTGACTCTGGAACGTACTAATCCAGAACAGTCTAAGTAAGGGTAATAGGGTCTCGTATGGACCGACTAGTACCGCAACAAGAGTACTTGGCCGACGACTGGCAACAGGCCAAGATCTGCTGAAGACCTCCAAACCCTAACGTGAGGCCTGGCATTGGCAGCCGGTGCGTCTGTCATTTCTGCATCATGGAAGCAGGAACAAAATAACTTACTCTTGACGAAGTCTTTCCCCAACACTGGAGACGTCCGATATCGTCACGGGGACCTCGAGCACAGGAGCTCTACGGGTCTCAGCATCTTCCAGAAGGCGTAAGCGCCTCATGTTCTGACGCGTTGTCTGTGGCGCGGAGCATTCAAGTCCTCTCTTGCTGCAATTGAAGCATCTCTCTCCAGGCCATTTTCGCGTACTTGGTTCGCACTGACAATTTTACTTTTTGTTCACATCTGACCGAAAGGACTCTCTATACATATCTTGACTTTTGCGTCTCGACAAGGCTTACACTTGGAGTAATTCAGTTTGCGCGGTAGGTCCTTTCTTCTTGCGGGCGGCAGCTCAACCTCAGTAGAGACGCCATGCGACCCGTCAACAATTGGCAGAAGAGAGAGATGCAAGCTATCGTAGTCGATCCTTGTTGAATGTTGCTGCAAGAGCGACTGAACGTGGTGTAGTCTTTAGCCTTGTCCAAATGTCAGTACGAATCTTGCTACAAATTCATCTTCTTTGGGCGAGCCGTGTTGCTAGTGAGAGAGAGAAGGCCTGAGTGCGAAGCGCGAAGGCTGAGCTGTCACAAGAGGCCTTTCAGCACATCATAGACGAAATGAACTAGTTTGAGAGGCGGCGTTGGCGGGCGCGTCCGCGCATCATGATCTGACCTGCAGGCTGTGCCACGCTACGCCTCCAACCAAGTGTCTGTCGACATGTTTGATTCGACCCCAGTTGACCACAACAAACTAGCTTGACTTGGTAAAGCGCCAATGCAGGGTGGCGGATGCTACGTATTTGATGTCCGTGGTTGCGCTCTAGTATTCGCACTTGATGGCTTGCGCACGAAATTGTGGTATCATACCACGATCCAGCCTCGACGAATAGCCCTGAGGATGTTGCGTATGCCGAGTTCTGATGTGTTCTTACTCAAATCTCACCGCACTCGCAGTGTTGGTCGTGGAATTCTCTCTCCTATTGCGCTCACCATGTGGTAGTCTGATGGGAGGCGCCTCCTGTTGTATAAGACGTTGAACATACCCAGCTACAAGACATCGCCTATCGAACGACTAAGAGACTAGCCCTTCACGCACTGCCCTTGCAAACTCATTCATGTTATCTAGCGATTTCAACATCAACTCCACCTGGCGCCTGGTGTACCCAACTGTCACAATGGTCGCCGACACGAACAGCAGTTTGGCGACTGAGCGTTCTGGAGGTCGTTTTGAGAAGCTGGAGACCATCTTCGCAGGTGTCTCAGTGCTGACCAGGTGTGTTGCCCTAGTAGTCGGCCTGTTCCAACTGTCGAAGCATCGGAAAGCCAGTTGGTTGTCAATCTAGAACGACGTTTACAAACTGGAAGCTGGGTTGCCAGAGGTGAGCTCCTATGCTTGTTGCTTAGCCAATGTTACTGACACAAGATCAGGCATGGTCTTGCAATGCCGAGAATCGCCTGGGAGTTTGAGGATGTTGAAAGCGTGAGTCACTTTGGAAGATTATCATCAACAGCAAGCCTGCAATGATGGGAATCAGTGCGATATCCGGACCAGGGGAAGGAAAGGAAGGTCGCTGTTGTACCAAACGAACTGATGAAATTCCAGCGGTCATGTCCGCACCATTGACAATGAAGTCAAGGTTTGGTATCGGGGGTACTACGGTGGGCTTCGTGGATGTGTTTCGGTCGCATGTATTTTCAGTGGAGTTGCAAGCTCCAGATACTTTGTAGTCCTTGCCTAACTTTTAGCTTGCAATGTGTCAACAGATTTGCCCTGACTCCCTCCCAGAAATGTGGGACTGGCAGCTTCTGCTTCCTGCTTTTTCTGTAATATAAGAGGAAGAGCTCATGACCGGCTGTAAATATCGCAAAATACACTGGATAGCTCTTGTCGTCTTCTGGATGATATCAAGGAACCAACTTGGAATGTCTCGTCAGATAAGAGATGTGCTTGGCCTCTTTCAGCCAGACATACCATGCGACCTTCATAGGATGGTTATGTACTCTGCAGTCGCCTTGGTACTGAGTGTTGACAGGGTGCTCATACGAAAGTTAGTAATAGCGGATGAGGTATTTGGTTGCCTCGGATAATACGGCAAGCGTCGAAGTACTTGACATAGCAAAAAGCTGGGTCTCGGAAGCACGGCATCCTGGGCCTCATTTTCGTAATGATGTGAGCCGCTTGATGCTTCATGAAGCCGAGTGAATGGATAGGGAGAGAGAATTGGAGGGACTGGTAGGAAGATGACCAGAGAGCTCCAATATGGTAATGAAAAGGCGGGTGGGGTTTGGTGGGGAGAGTTACTGGATAAATGCAGGGTTCACGCTTTCGAAAGCTTGTTGCCCCGCTAAAGCCAACCAAACAGGGATGACGTCGTGGCCGAGTCCAAGCTTCGAACCAGGGACCAGAAAGGCGCATGCCACACGAACGTCAGGACTCGACATGTTGCGCGACTCACTCCTGAAGAGCTAACACATATATCTCACAAACCACAATGGTATGCGCTGTCCAGAGGATGTGTGCCGCAATATAAGGCTGACATGTGATCAGGCTTCGATACTGCGGCAGATTGTGGCCGGCCCACGTGCTAGGCACGCTGAAGCTGGTCTTGACCTGTGCTATGTCACAGACAACAGTACACAAGCCTGCCATACATACTCGAGACTATCCTGACCTTTATTAGTCATTGCCACATCAGGTCCCAGCGGCACCTACCCACAGCGCGCATACCGAAATCCACTCGATTCCCTCGTAAAGTTCCTCGACTCGAAACATGGTGAAGACTGGGCGATATGGGAGTTCCGTGCTGAAGGCACTGGCTACCCAGACAGCGAAGTCTACAACCGCGTATATCACTACCCGTTTCCTGACCACCATCCACCCCCCTTCGCTCTCATACCGAACATCATGGCCAGCATGCGCAACTGGTTGAAGGCGAAAGAGGGACGTGTAGTCGTCGTGCACTGCAAAGCCGGCAAGGGTAGATCGGGTACAGCTAGCTGCAGTTACCTGATGAGCGAGGAAGGCTGGCCTATGGAGCAGGCTCTACAACGGTTCACCGAGCGGCGCATGCGACCTGGCATGGGTTACAAGGGGGTCAGTATCCCAAGTCAGCTGCGGTGGCTGACATATGTGGATCGCTGGGCGAAGCATGGCAAGATGTACGTGGAGAGGCAGGTCGAAATCCTGGAGGTGCACTGCTGGGGCCTAAGAGATGGCGTCAAGATCCAGGTTGAAGGCTTCGTCGAGGACGGCAAGCTCATCAAGAACTTCCACACATTCACAAAGGAGGAGCGAGAAATCGTCAGAGGAGAGGTCAAGACAACAGGCATGGCTCAGGCAGTGCATGAGGTCATGTACAAGAATGGCCTTAGCGGGTCATCCGGCAAGGCCAATGCACAGCAGGACGATAACAAGGATGACTCGAAGAATACCAGCAGATCTTCGCTGGAGGTACCGCGAAACGCAGGCGGAGCCGCTGCCTCTCAGACCGGCTCGAAAGAAAGCCTTCTCCCAGGCACCGGCGATGTCGTCTTTCGACCTTCGAAGCGCGTCGTGCTACCTACGAACGATATCAACATTGACGTCGAGCGCCGTAACAAAGCTGCGTTTGACCTCACGATGGTCACTGCAGTCGCACACGTTTGGTTCAATACATTCTTCGAAGGCAATGGCGCGGAGAAGAACGGCACGGCAGACGAGTCTGGCGTATTTGAGATTGACTGGGATGCGATGGATGGCATAAAAGGCTCGTCAAGAAAAGGCACACAGGCTTTTGAGCGCATCGCAATCGTATGGCGTGCGCTCAACGCCGAAGAGGGGCGGCCTGGCGTTGTCATCACAGAACCAAAAGAAGGCGAGGAGGTCCACCAAACAGGCCCCACAGACTGGAAGGGCACAAAAGGTGTCGAGCCAAGCGAGGGCAAGGACCTTGGCCTGCGCTCCTCAAGCCCGGATGACTCAGAGGTCGAAATGAACAACACAGATGCTATCAAGAGCGCCAACGAGCAGAACAAGACTACAGTAAGGGTACCTGGCCGTAGGAACAGTGGAGAAAGCAACGACAGCGATACCAAGGACGTTCGATCACATGGTCCTAACGGTGAGGAAGTTTTGCAATACCCCATGCCCACGAGAACCAGTATGGAAGCGAGCGGGAGTGGCAGCGGCCCGCAGACGACCGCCTCACAACCTACACTGCCAAGCCAGGTTGACGGTGCCGCAACGGTGGGGTCAAGGCCGTCCTCAGAATCGCACAGAGGCACACGTCACGTTGGAAAGCTTATTGATAACGTGAAGTACCACGTCTCCGGCGCTGCATCGACCAGCGAATTGCCTGACGGGAGACCAGAAGCTGAAATGAAGGATGCGAAAGAACATCAACTTGGACATCTAGGGAAGAGCAAGCTGTCGAATTGAGGAGCCAGGAAAAGACCAAAGGGGCGCGTGACCGTAGTGCAGCGGGTTGTAGGACGAGGCTCTGGTCATCGATGAGTTAGGCAAGTTGTTGTCGAAATGCAGTGCAGCGTATCGGGTCGGTGCACGAAGCATCAACGTGTATATGCTGCAGCTTGCAGGATGCATACAAGAGGCGTTGAGCACCGTGGCGCACATGCTAATAAACACGAGATCAGTTTAGCTTCTACAATGGTTGAGAGGGGCCTGTTTTGCTATGCTTTAGATATACCATTTCAGCAGCAATGTTGGCTTATAAACTGAGGGCAGTATGTGTTTTCACGTGCTCTGAATCGTGTCTGATACTCCATCCATGCTGAGCCACCGTTAACTGTTCAAAAGTGAGGCGGACACTCACATGCACTTTCCGTCAGCACTGGTGAACCCTGCTCGCTTGGGACGACTAGCGTTGATTCGAAGCGCAATTGCGACCAGTGGCCGCGACCACAGTCACTTTGTACAACCATAACTGCATCGGCTCTCGTCTCGAATCGGTATGCCGTCAGCGAGGATTAGTCCTCGTACTTGCACATAGAGCATGTCGCGTACACGCGGCGCAGGGCACCGGCGTTCGCGGCACTAGGCGCGCTCCTCGATACCCAGGGCGCCATGTTCAGCAAAACATAAGAGCAAGACGACATCCTCACTAGAATGCATTTGCAATTCGGGAGCCACCCTGAAGCTTTGAAAGCCTTCTCAAACTCTTATCACCCAGCCTCGGAGTCAGCGAACCTATCAACTGCGCAACCGCGCATCCGGCGAGGCTGAGAGGCGTCGACCAGGCTGAACACGCAACTTCACCAGATTCGCCCACATTATCTCACCGGTCGCCTTGTATATCGCTTCATCTCAATATCGTTCGAACGCGACTAGCCAGTACACTTCGTCGATGCATACTGTCGTGTGCCTTGCAACTGTTGCCTAATTTGAGAGCATATGCTGACGTGCGATTTGTATGCACCCGTATGAGGCTCAACCTCATCAGCCTATATGAACGCACTAACAGGCGGGGTAGCAGGATTTTGTAAGTTTCCAACACTCTAGGCTTATGGTCCAGTATTACTCGAACCTCTCAGTCGCCTAGAAGGGCGCAGAAACCCTCGGACACTAATACATCTGTGATAGCGGCTTACTCCGATCTATCAGTAACCTACTGGTGCCTTCAGCTAGTGCCATATACCCAACAAGGGTAAAGCGGCGATATCTCTTGTATAAAGTAGACGGGGTAGTATCCTCATCGTTTTGCAAAGTAAAGGTGCGTTCTAAGGCGTTGCTTTTCGTTCTATCATTCAACTTGAATCTCTACACCACTCCTTGCAGCCTTCACTTGAGCACGCCGCTAAATAGTCAGACAAAAGGAATCATATCCCTTCACTTGCCAACTGCGGTATAAAACCTTCGAACTTCTCAACCCATGAGTAATTCAGAAAGCACGGAGTCAACTCCTAAGATCCCTCCTCTTCCTCCACCAACAACCGAGCTATCAGACACTTCAAGTTCCTCGCCAGTCATTCTCCCAACGCCTTCAGTGATCTCAGAGCCAGATCATATCTCTCAAGACTTGAACATGGACTCCAGTCACGACCAGGTTGAGGCTCAGAAAGCCGAAGCGACGCCAAAGGCTGAGCCTGAGGCAGTCGTTGTGCTACCGCCATCTCCTTCCGCTGTGACTGACGGACACACCAAGACCGCCACCACTTCTACGAATAAGGCCAAGACTGAGAGAAAGACGGAAAGCAAGAAGCGGTCCAAGGAGTCCAAGAGCAAAGCTGACGACCCATCCGCTTCTGAGAGCAGTGATGCAGATAGTGAGTCTGAGGACAGTACCGAAGATGAAAAGGAGAAGCGCAAGAGGAAGCGGAAAGAGGCAGCTAAGAAAGCGGCAGTTAAGAAGAAGGCAGCAAAAGAGAAGGTTAAGAAGAGCAAGAGCAAAAAGAAAAGAAAGAAAGCAGACTCAAGTGACGACTCTAGTGACGACGATACTGATGATTCCGCGGAGTCGGAGTCGGACTCGACCTCTGATTCAGACTCAGACGATGCAAAGAAGAAGAAGAAGAAGAAGAAGAAGAAGAGTCGACGCAAGGATGCCAAAACGAAAGCCAAGACGAAGAAGAAGGGCATGAAAGCCGAGAGCTCTAGCGACGACAGTGACTCGGCGCTATCGACCAGCACCTCCAGCTCATCTAGCGGCGATTCTGATACCGACTTTGATGACGTGAAGTCCAAGCGTAAGCGTGCCAAAGCCAAGCGCAAGGTCAAGAAGCCTGTGAATGATGACGGCTCTGCGTCTGAAAGTCCAGTAACAGTCACTACCACCGACGGAAGTGCACCCCCCATCCCTGGTGATGACCTTGATACGCAAGTGACAAAGGTGAATGCGATTCTCAACAACCTCAGAATGCAACAACTTGCTGTTGCAAATACTGCAGCAGCTGGCATCACCCCACCCTTGCCAAAGTCATCGGCAAAGAAGAACGCACACGAATTCAAGCGCATTGATCAGGTGTGGGATACTAAGCTCCGCGATTACAAGCTCATCGAGAGCACAGCCGATCAGAAAGACGAGTTCGAGTGTGTGTTCACCGTGCGACGACGGTTCAACTGGGAAGGCAAACATCGCGAGACACTCGTCGACATCAAGTCCAAGACACTGAGGGGCGTACTCCAGGTTGTTTTGAAAGAGTGCAAGAGCGTCAGTCTGGTGGAAGATGTTCCAGAGATTGATCCCCACATTCTCTTTCATTATTACGATGAGATCAAGAAGTACGCAAAGAAGACTTTGAAGCCCAAGTTGAAGCGTGCGAAGAAGTCGAAAGAAAAGAAGAAACTCACGCAAGAGATCGCTCAGTGCAAGCTGCTTCTTGGTTACATCGACGAGGACTATGCTGCAACCCGAAAGGCGTTGAAACCGTTGCTGAAGGCGGGTACGATTACTTATGAACTCTGCTGGGCGCTATTTAAGCCGAACACAATTGTCTACACGCCCACCTATGGCAACAAAGAGGACCCGAGGTGTTTCAGAGTTGAACAATGCTTTGAGTATGAAAGCTGGCTGAGCGGAGCAAAGTCATGCTGCATCGATGGCAAGTACCTCGAGTATGACGGTCAGATGTTTGGACTCGGCGACCATGAAGCCGAGATCAAGTCTTTCAAGGGTCACAAGAAGATCACCAGTCTGGTTGCATACCCACTGAAGTATCACAAGGATCCCAAGGTGAGCACAGACTCAACGCAACCCTTCGGTCGCGCAATGTTAATTGATGAATAGGGAACCCAGAAGCTACTCATCGAGCGAGGCAAGAAGTTCGTCGCTCTCCAGGGCATGAGCTACCGCCTTCAGAAAGGCATAGCCTATCAGAAAGTCAAGAACACGATTGCGAAGTACAACATCAACGGTCGTGTCATGGTCGACCCAGCGATCTTCCGTCGGATACAGCCAAATTACCCATTATCCTACATCAAGCCAGACGAGCTGAATCGAGAAGACGACGAGGCTGGGCAGGAAATGAGCGATGACTGCTGCTGCTCAAGTGACGATGATGATGTGTCGGATAGCGAGAAGCCTGAAACAGACCCAATGCGTGTCGTGTTGTGGAAAGACAGCAAGGGCAAGAAGCATCCCATCAAGGTACTCCAGAGTACGATTGATGCTGAGAACGGTGTTGGAGATAATGCTACCACCAAGCTCGAAACGGACGACGATGGCAATATGGTGGATCATGTCTTCGCTGAGGAAGAGCTCTTGATCGCCTCTCCAGTCGTTCTTGGCTTCGCCTTCTCCGAAAAGCTTTGGCTCGAGTTCTCGCTCTCCGGCATCGAGGAGATCCAATGGAATCCCGAAGCCTTCGACTCGCTCGTCCTGCCCGACAAGATCAAGTCCAACCTCAAAGGCCTTGTGTCCTCGCACCGTTTCAACGCCGCCCGCACAATCGACGACGTCATCCAAGGCAAAGGTAAAGGCCTCAACGTCGTGCTCCACGGCCCACCAGGGGTCGGTAAAACACTCACTGGCGAATCTATCGCCGAGTACCTCAAATGCCCACTCTATGCAGTCTCAGCCGGCGAACTCGGCACCAACTCCGGCAGTCTTGAGCGCGACTTGAACCGCATCATGGACATCACGCACTCGTGGGGTGCGATCCTGCTACTCGATGAAGCCGATGTGTTTCTCGAGGCACGTCAGCCGCACGATATTCACCGCAACAGTCTTGTTTCGGTCTTCCTTCGACTCACGGAGTACTACCAGGGCATTCTGTTTTTAACGACCAATCGTGTCGAGACGTTTGATGAGGCGTTCCAGAGCAGGATTCATATGGGCATCCGTTATGAGAATCTGAAGCCGGCTGCGAGGAAGAAGATTTGGCAGCACCATGTGGGCAAGGTGGAGAAGATGGCGGTAAACGAAAATGAGAACGGCAAAGGAAAGCAGAAGGTGAAGCCTTTCACTGACTCGGACTTCAACGAGCTAAGTAAGAGGAACATGAATGGACGACAGGTACGTGCTCTCTTGCTGAGGAGTTGCTCGAGCTTTACTAACAAGTTTTACAGATCAAGAACACGGTCAAGACGGGCCAGTCGATTGCGCTCTCCGAGAAAGCAACGTTCAGCATGGAGCATATCAAGCGTGTTCTTGAAGTTGCTGAAGCCTTCGAAGATGATATGCGCGGTGGCAAGGGCTATCGTGATGCGATGCAGCACTACACCTAGAGTCGCTTTCGAAGACTCAAACTTCGGTGGTACCAGTGTGAACTGCGGCTTCGAATCAGCAGAATTTGCCCAACAACCCGAACCGCGTTCTGTACACCGTGTACAAGAATGGTGCTATGACGGGAAGGGAGCGATACGGCAACAATGCCACACGGTATAAATGATAGGGTATTAAAGATCATACAGGCGTACGGATGCCGGAAGACTGTGCTGGGTAACGATTTTGATCCGTGTGTAGGATATACTAGGTACATTACATCTCACTCCGCTATGTGTAGCTAGGGTCTCTCATCTCACATAATGACATACGTTATCGATCGTATTACAAGCGCAGCTCAGGAAATTCAGTGATGTTGAGATGATCAATATGAACGGCACCAATCTATCCTTCTGTCAGCTGTTAAGTACATCCTTTTGATGATGATTTTGAACGTCGTTTTCCCGTCCCTTGCATCTGCCGTCTCTCGTGCTGTGTCATACACCTGTCATGCATTCGTCATCAACCAATGCCCCTGCTCTTTCGCCCACGTATCACCCACAGGCCCTACAAGACAGTAACATGGCCCAAAAACCTGGACTCCGGCTCCTGAGTATCTGGATTGACGTTCAACTAGCGGCTGACGAACTTATCGACGGTGGTCTAGACCCTCACAGTATCCGCCTTGGCGGTGGCTGGATCTCCCCACGAAAATCCCCACTCATTCCTTCGGAAACCTTCTGGGGCTCGTGGAAACATCACCTCACTTATTCCCGTCACACCGCACAGCGCCCTCGCGTCACATCCATGCAGCATCAGCCAGATCGTCATCATTCTCGTAACTGACAGCATTTCCAAGCCACCACTTGTAGAAGAAGGCCGCGTGCGCCGAGCGCACCATGAAGGAGGAGGCTGTCTATCCCTCAACAAGTCCCGAGGCGTCGTCCAATTCGCTCACACCAGGCGACCCGCCGCCAAAGAAGAAGCAGAAGAGGAACAAGCCTACTCTGAGCTGCGAGGAATGCGTTGAGCGCAAAACCAAGGTACGTTCTTGTCCCTGCATTTGAGCCTCTTCGTGTTGCAGGAATGAATACATGCGTCATGACTCCGAACGAACGCAAATCTGACGCTGTGCGCAGTGTGATCGCACTCGGCCTCATTGTCTGGCGTGCATCAAGCGACAATCAGCATGCAAATACTCAGCCATAGCAAACCTGATCGCGACATCTGCAGATGGGTAAGTCACAGACCTCACTCTTCGAACAACGATTCGTGCATGCCGTTGCTAAGCAATCCTACAGCGTTGGCGCCGCGCGTAATTCGGGACGAGCCAGGAAGCAACAGCAGAAACCCACTCACCTCCAGCTTGGCAGCGACACGCAGCAGCATTCACCTCCTGTTCAGGTAATTGTCCGCTTCTTGTTATTCCCGTTACACCTGTCAGAGCCGCGTGAACGGGTGTTCGTGTGCTCTTCGGCTCCACGCGGATGGGCTGCATGCACAGACCACTATGCCGGCAATGGCTGACCCACATGACAGGTTCATGCTCAGGTACCGCCACCAGTGAGGGCGCAGTATCGCAGCGTGTCTCTGTCTTCGTCTGGATCATCGCCCTTCTTGTTGTCTAATGTGCCATTCTCGAGTAGAGCTCCTCAGCCGTTTTTCGGCTTGGGCTCTGAACATCCTTTCGCCAATTACTGGACTAGTCGCGGCGGCCTTGCTGAAGTCGTAGGTGTTCTGCCAGCGAAGGAGCAAGCCGACATTCTTGTCGACAAATATTTTGATGCCGTCGATCCGGTGTATCCTATGATACACCGGCGGAACTTTTATGCCGACTATGAGCGCTTCTGGGCGATGTCGTTGGAGGAGAAGCAGGTTGCTGATCCAGTCACGGTTGCCCTGCACTTCGTGGTATACGCCATGGGCACCCAATTCATTCACACACCATCCAACCAGGAACGCGCGCAAATAGCTGAGTTTTATGTTTCAGCAGCGCAGCAAGCGCTGAGATTGTCATCCTACCTGAGCAGAGCTTCGGTTAGGACACTGCAAGCCATGGTGCTTATAGGGTACTTCCTCATGAACGACAATCACGCTTCTGACGCCTGGGCATTCGGAGGTGTCCTTGTACGGCAAGCATACGCGATGGGACTGCACCGCGACCCAGATGTCATAGCATCCCGATGTTCACGAAGCGACAAACAGCAACGCCGGAAACTCTGGCAAGCCATCTTCTTCCAAGACACCTTCCTCACCGTCCTGCTCAAGCTCCCACCGACAACAACTTTCTCCGACGTCCACCCCAAATCCCTCGACGACTCGCTCGACGACTACGCCGTGCCTAACGGCTCCTCCAACGGCAACACCGACCCCGTCCTCAACCCCATGAGCATCACCCACATCGCTCAACTAAAAGATGTCTACCCACCCTACGAACTTGCGGACCGCCGCTACATTCGCTCAATGTGGCACATGGCCAACCTCGTCTCGCGCACAGTCTGTACCCCGCGCTCGCTCTCAACACCCCTTACAACCTCCATATCCCACAAAGCCGCGCTCGTCGAAGAGTACTTCGCACTCCACCGCAGTTTCCCACCCGAACTCACTGCGTCTGACGATGCCACGATCCAGAAACTAGCCGAAACGAACCCTCGCTCTTTAAGGCAGAACCTATTCTTCCGCAGCAATTTCTGGCACTGCGTCATGGTGATTCAATCCGATGAGAATCCGGACGAGGGGTATATGTGTGAGGTCAAGGGGTGTTTGGAGGCGGCGCGCATGGCGGTGCAGAGTTTCATTCATTTCTGGGAATATCTGAGGATCGATGCGAGTGTGTGGTGGGTGTTTCAGCATAGAGCTTTTGAGGAGGCTGTAAGTTATTTTCATTCCCTGCCTTGATTTTGTGGAGTGGTGATGTGAAGAGCGAGGATGCTGACGATGAATAGCTTCTTATGGTGCGCATTCTGGGGCGGCAGGAACAGCCGTTGTCCCCTCGACATAATGGGCCGCCGTCCACAGACCCGTTGTTAATGGCAGCGAAGGAAGATGCGAGAAAATGCTTGGAGATCTTAGATTTGGTTGGCATTGCGCCGGAGATGCAGAAGACGAGAACAGAGGTGTTGAGAACTGCGTTTGCAGATATCCTGTGGTGATGACAGTCAGAGGTTTGAGTCCGTCGGCAAAGGAGTCTTTTACTGTGTTTTGCGATATTGATACCTCTTTTGTAAGTTGAAATGCTGAATACAACCTAGGTTGTTGTCCACAAACCGATCTTCTCAGGATGCTTTCCGTAAGTTTCTGGATCATGCAGGTCAGACCAAGTGCCTTACGGTGTAGAATCTAGAAGAGGTTACAGCTTCATCCCGCATCTTACCTAGTTACAAGTGCCCTGTCATCTCAAGGCCCGAGTGACACGGATGAAGCCCTGTCGCATCACGGGTTCTGACTGGGCGTTCTGCGGTTGCGGTTGATGTTGGAGTAGGTACACTCATTGGCTATTACCTCAATGAGGAGGAGCACAGCCTCCTATCTGACCAATGGATCTCAATCCTACCCGACACCGTTCACGCTAATCTTCCGCTGTACATATTATCGTTTAACTCTTTAACTTGAAGTGTTCAGTCCTCAAGTTTGACCAAAGAACGCCGTGCAAAAGTCTACAGCCTCGGTTTGGCAGAGATACTCTTTTTTCCCCTTATGCATCAACAAGTTTTTTGATGTTCCGGCCGCCACGAGCTTCTCCAGGTTTCTTTCGATCGCTGTCAGGGACAGCCGGCCTAGGAACCCTTAGCTCAGCACCTCTGAGCCGCCACCTCCCAACACCCTCACACAAGCAACAAAAGACCACATCAGACGTCAGCATTTCTCTCTTCTCGGCTTTCAGTTCTTACTCTGCTTTTACCGCACCAACCATCCAACATACCTCAGTCAAGGTTTCGACTAGCTCTTCTAAAAATCTGTTACATCCGCAGCAACGAGTCTTTGTGTGTGGTTTTGCTGGTAGCCAAAGTATCGGCCTTTTTGTATGGCTGCGGGGCCGTGATAAAGTAGATCGAGGTTGACCAAATCAAGCACTTGATCTCCAAGTAAACATTGCCTTGTACACACTGATACCCGTGTTCAACGTTCTGACTTCCTTTCAGTCTGCATCTTCATCGCAAAATCGCACTGTTCTGTAGTCGAGAATACCGATCAGCTTCAACACTGCACTAAAACGGCGCGCGCAACAATGTCTCTGGACAGACAAGAAGTGATATTGGCGTTGGTGTTCGGCTTAGCAGCCACTATCATTGCGCTGCTTTCGTTGCTGGTTGGTGTGCTGCAGCTCATCAGCACGCGGCAAGCTCAAGCTCGAGTTCCTACCATTGTTCTGCAGAGGCTTCATCGATGAAGCTGCACGCGATGATTTCGCACCCTGCAACATGTGAGAGCATTGTCGTCTATCTGTTGACACAGCAGCACTAATCCTGTTGTATTTCATCTCTCAAGCCAAACATCACATAGCGTTACATTATGTGTTCGACTGGCGCCAGGCTTTGTTTGAATCTACTAGGGTTCACAATTGCTCGAAAAATTTAGCGCATTCCGCTATTGCGAGATTTCCATAACAACCCACCCTCTCAACTCATGTGAATCACTGTCGAGCCGTAATTCGGCGGTCTGTATTGCAACAAGACGGTGAGGCTTACTACCATTCCTAATCAAGCAGTTCGCGATAATTCCCACCGATCGTGTGGTGGATGCACACATCTGTGCCCTAGTCGTGTCCTTTTCTAGAAAATCAAACTAGACTTACGACCCTTTCGACTAATCTTTCAGCCAGGCGCTTAGCCCGTCGATTTGATTGGATGAAATAAGCTATGCTAGAGATCAGCGCATAGCCAGGGTAAACCGTGGCTTACTCGCATGGGCGCTCGTCCAAAAACGTGCACTGAGTGGTCTCGCTAAGGCTGTTCCAGCCACGTCCGGTGTAGAGGCTGCTGTGCGACGGAAGGCCGGCGTAGCGCCTATATATTCGACCTATACAACTTTATAAATTCTAACATACTAAGGCTCTAACAATCTGAGCATCATTGAGCGGTCATTCATAAGATCGCGGTCACCCAGCACTTCAAGTCTACAGCCTGGTCAATCTTCTGCCCATCTAGTTAATGACGAACACGACCTTGTCGCAAGTTTTTCGAACTTGTCATTTGTTTGGTCAACTACAGCCTCGAAAATCGAGTCCCTATCCACTACACTTTATATCGCAAGCCATATTTAATATCTCAACCGCGCCATGTCTTTTGAAAGGCAACAATCAGTCTATGCATTGGTATTTGGGATACTCGGTACCCTCATAGCCTTCCTGGCTCTTGCAATAGCCTACCAGCAGGCGAAGCGAGCAAGAAGGTTCGATAGAATCTACGAGCTGGCGTAAGATTGAAGGCACGCCCACTTCACCTACTACTCGAGTATACGTTGACCAATGCACTCAAGATATACCATATAGATGAGTCTGCCAACTCAGATTAAGGTTGCTACGGGATGTTATTATGTAGGGTGTTTGAGCGCATATTTGGATGTACACTGTCAAGCAATGTACAGAGCGAGCCAAAAAAATTGGTTTCTACGTCTTGTGCCCAATTACACCTCTTTTCGAAACACAACTTCTCACGGTGCAGCTAAGAATGTATAAGCAAGCATTATTGATCATCCGACGGGAGTGTCTCTTTTCAACGTACCAAGTAAGTGCGAGTTGGAAGCCTCGAGTTCAGTGTCCTGCATCAGCACCGCCTTTAGCTTCGAGAGGTATTCATACCATCGCCGCAACGTTTGGCTACTTCGAGCCTATGTACAAGCAGTGGAAAAGAACAATCAGACCGTAAGCAAGATGTCAACCGACTCGAAGTTGTATCATCATTGAGGTTGTCAGACTAGAAAACGTAACGACGTGGTTCGTGTGAAGCAGCAAAACGAGGCAGTGAGCGGTTTACATCGTGGAGTGGCCAAAGCGCATCGTGAAGCATGCGATCAATTTGCTAAAGCGCCGGGGACTCGAGTGGTGATCCGGTGGTCGTTGCCCGGTTACGCTGAGGAAAAGGGCAGCAAAGCCGCTGCAGTGCGCGCTCACTCTGGACGCTGAGGGCAAGCTTCTGGAATCCGCGCCATGTCGCCAGACGCCGATGCTTGAAGCCCAGCAGTAAGCGCAGTCTCGCAGTCTACAGGCACCCTCCTCGCGCAAATCGCGTGTAGAGGCGCCTGCCTGATGCCGGCACAACTGCATCATCGCTCAATTATTATGCTTTTCGCTATCTCACATAAGTAAAGTAATGGAGCGATCGAGCACCGTTTCGGTCGTCATCTCCGCCTGCATGGTCTAGAGGGGCATTTCGCGTACAGAAGACTCGCCTGGTGAGCCATGAGGGCATCGAAATCTCCCGTACGGAGGCATCCGCCTATCCACGCGTGCGCAACGCGGTGCCTCCGTTCAGGTCAGCTTAGATCCGACTAAACCTGCAGCTGCAGGCTCTTGCCTTATGCACGTTAAGCAAGCTAGATGCGCAGTGCAGCAAAACGGGGCAGTGTGCATGCACCTCTGCCGGGATGCTGTGGCCACGCCGGGCGGCCATGATCGACGCTTGTAAGCTCTTAAGAAAGATTCCACCCTCAGCACAGCCATACTTATTTGGGCACGACCAGATCAAGGGACGACGACTGCAGACAGACCGGCTGCTCGTGGTGTCTCTAAGGGTTTGACGAAGGTGGGTGTCGTTGAGCAGTGCTTGGCTCACCTACAGGACGACCACGACTTCGAATTTCTCGAATATATGTTATCTTCCTCGATAGTATTCTCTGCTGGATTGACAACCGATGCGAACTTTCAGAATCAAGGTTCCTATTCGTCCTACCTGGTGCGAGGAACTCGCTGCCTGTAAAAGGTACCCCATTAACTAGGCTAAACTAGGACTCGCCGCATCGTCACCGAAGCACCTCCGCATTCGACGATCTAAACACCCCCAGGGCTTGAAGGGGAGATGTCTGAAAAACAACAAGCAGTTTTTAGTCTGGTCTTGGAATTCGCAGGCGTCATCATTGCACTTTTGGCGTTGCTGGTCGCGGTGTTGCAGTATTTGACGATGCGTCAAGTTCACATCCAACCCCCAGCAATGCGCTTGCAGCGTAGAAGGCTGTAGTTGATGTTCTTGCTCTTGACACCTGGAAACCGGTACGTAGCCCCAGTCTTGTATCTGCGCACCCATATTTTTGGTCAGTTCTAACGTCCTCAGATGTACTCCGCCTAACTTGGGAACTTGAAATGAATACGGTGGTCGCTTTCTTCGTACAATCCATTGATACCGCCTCTATTTCCTGTTGTCATATTCCCGCGAGATGAATAAGACAAATTCATATTGAATAGTATCGCAAAACATAGGTCCGCGTTGTGAATATGAAGTTTGGGACCATACCGCATAGGGCATCACACAATGGTTCGTTGCGATGCAGCAAATACTGGGTTATCACAATACTTCTCAGCAAAGATCCCTCCATAATAACTTGAGTGCTGTACGTGCCCTCTGTCAAGGTACACCCAAAGTCGACAGCTTCCGTGCAGCTCTGTTATGATTGGTCAGTTTCCGGCCGTCAAAGGCGCTGCCCCGTGCTAGCGCAGATCGCCTTCCAGAACTTCCGAAGAACAGGGGCGGCGCATCCACATCCTCATCACCTCCATCATCGATATTGTTCTCGTCGGCATTGTGCATTGTTATTGTTAGCTTAATGAGTTCGGTAAATCTATATATCATCAAGCCTTGCACAAAGACAGCGGTCGCACAGGACGCGCAGTACACCAATCTGTTGCGGTGTATATAACCACCCGAGGGTCAGAAAGGTCGGCCTTTTTGTATCGCTGCGGGGCCGCGACAAAATGCAATGATTGCCCTGGGTAATGTCTTCCAACAACAAACTCTACGATCCAGACCAGGCTGCTGTAAACACACGTTGGATACAGCCTTGGAGTGAGGCTTTCAGGGTAGGTCACAACGGGTCAGCATGGGCGCACACAAAAACTCAATCCTAACATGGCACAGGCGCAACGCGATGTTGGGCTCCGCATCCCGATCGATTTTCACACTGTGGCAGCAGTCTCCTTGACACAGGCTTGCTTTGTTGACAATCAGTTTGAACACAATGCATTCCTGAAATGCTTTTCGAACCTTCTGGGAGTTGGCTTCCCGCGGTTCGAAATTGATGTCTACTGGGATGCACTGCGCTCAGTATGGAGTCTGTGTCCAGTTCAACTTCCACAGGACGGCGTCGAAGTGCAGAACAATGCATCCATAGTCTCTAGTCCGACAATTTCAGTGTCTACGGGGACCGCGACTGCTAGGTTGCTGGAGACTACTGCAACGATGCCACAGCCGTTGAAGATCCGTCAGGATAGTTCAGTGTCCACTCAAATTGCATCAGCATCCTCTGCAGCAGTGGATCAGGCCTCTTCGAGTTCTCCGGATACAATAAGCGCTTCTGCACAGCCGACCGTCATCAGCTATCCGACAGTGAAAGGCCTACCACTTTTACAGATTGGACGGTACAACTGTACGTCACAGATGACTCTCGGCCTGTTGACTGGCTTGTTAGAAGACTTTCTCCAAGAAACAGCTACTACCACTGGTGCGACCATCACGTTTCTCAACCTCAACATCCATGCTGCAGCATCCTTGTCAGATCCGGACGGGCCGGCGCCGCAGCTTACGCAGGATCAGATACCACAATCAAGCGATAGACTGAGTGAAATTGTAAACGGGAATCTCTCGAGCGTCCTGTACCCTTCGGAAACCTTGGGAGAGCAGCGTGCGAATCTCAACAGCAGCTGGTATAATGTCGAATGGGAAAATCTCCCTGCGCAAGGATACTACCAGACTTCAAAGAATTCTGCGGGTAATGTTTTCACAGAAAGTGGTTGGCCGACTGAGGCATTGATGGAGTTTCAGGAGTTCAAGAGAGTCATCGCTAGTTTTGGCACAGTCGACCAACAGATGGCGGCCTACGACATCAGCGGCGATTTCAATGATATCTTCCCTCCGGGAACTATCACTGAGCAGCGACAGACCTCTTTCGCTACTACTGGACAACTCAATTCTGGATGCTACTTTCCTTCCTCCGACAATATGGTGACAACACGGACAAACTCATCGTTTGCTCGTGCCTCACCACCGTTGATCAGCATTGATGCGAACCCCGACCTCATGAGTTCAATACCATCGGTATCTAACCTGACTCGATGCGACATTATTCCCTTCCTCAACCAGAGCCTTGCAGGAACAACAGCGGACAAGAACCCCTTGCCCTATGCTGCGTACGTGCATTCGACATTATGGTCCTGGGCACCAGGGCAACCTCTAAACGTCACGCGAGGTAGTTCCACCGCCAATCGCTGTGCGGTCATGACAAATTCAGCTTACCCTGGCCGATGGGAAGTCACCGACTGCGGCAACCGTTATCGCGCAGCCTGTCAGAACCCGCAGCAGCCATACTATTGGGAAGTCTCCTCGAATACATCCGACTTCAACACCGCCAAGGGTCTATGTCGCTCGCCGTTGCATTTTGCTGTTCCGCACACGGCGCTTGAGAACGCACATCTCCATGCTGCTTTGCAAAGAACTCGTGAGCCCAACGAGCCTGTCTACATTGATCTTAATCAGCTTGGCACTGCAGACTGCTGGGTCATTGGTATCAACAGCACATGTCCATATTTGCAATCTACTGACAAAAATCGGACTCGCATCGTTATCATTCCTACAGTTGCGGCTGTCATCATTTTCGTTCTTGCGGCATTCACTTTCTTTGTTAAGTGTGCATCGAATAGAAGGGAAGATAAAAGGGGAAGAGGAAGGAAGACGGTAGGTGGGTGGGAATATGAGGGTGTACCTAGTTAGTTGGATTCAGTGAGTCGTTGTGCTTTATAAGTTCCAGGAGGTTTGCTAACATCATGCAGGGCATACAAATCTTAACATTACTATTTGTGATAGAACGGGCCTGTCGTACTACGCATCATAGGGCAAGAAACACGCACCTTCGCAGTCAAATTCACGCTCGATCATCTCGAGCTCGTTATCAGACTCATTGGGAGGCTCACCATCCAGACGCCACTATTCTATCCCATCCCGAATTGACTGGACTATGCGGTCCTCCAGGTCGTCAGTTGCGACAAGACCAATATCCTCAAGAACTAGACCAGCCGGGCTGATCGCGCAGCTGAGCGATGATTGCGTTGTTTAGATCCATCTCGAACTGTGCCTTATCGGCCGCAAACTTTTGCTTCTCGGCCTGTAGCACCGCGCGCCATTGCTGGGTCTGCTCCATGGTCACTAGCGTCTCGAAGCTAATTTTAGGTGAGGTGTCAACCGCGATCCGCTTGAGTTCGAAGGTCTCGTTGCCACGTCGGCTGATCTTCCGAACGATCGCATGATACTGCTTCATGTAGCCTCGGCGGTGGTCTGCCTCTTCTTCCTCATACAAGGACCGCGGAATCATATTCAGATACGGTACTGTCCGTGGCCAAGCCTCCTTCGGGTGGAACGGCGATATCAGCGCAGAAGCCTTGCGCTCTCTACCGGTCGCCACTGCATCACAGTCAGCCGGCGTTGCATCTTCATGGGCCATGAACTTATCCATCAGAGCATGCTGCTCTCTGCCCACTTCGATGACCTCTGCCTGCCAAGCTTCAAACTTTTCTACGAAAGCTTCATTAGTTTTGTCTTGTGCGTTCATCTCGTCTATGCATCGGTTATACTCGTTTGCCCACTTGTTACACTTGACCGTGCAGCGGTCTTGCCAGATCCGAGTGATACGTTCCAAACGCAATTCGCGATGCACGATGTCCAGACCGGCGCTGTTGGTGTCTGTGAGGTGTTCGTCGCGACAGACTATGTTGGTTTACTGTCCAAGTTGAGTCAATTGCTGATATAGGGTTGCGATGCGCAAGCACAGGGAGCCTGAACGGTTTGTTGTAGTAGTTGAAGTCACTGCACTGCTGATGGATATTGAAAGATCGTCCCCTACCAGAAGAGACTTATGAGTAACTTCGCCTCTGAGAACTGCAACGTTACGAAGGGCAGCTGGCGCTCTCAGATAGCGAAGAAGGGCGCAGTCAATGCGCTTTATGATACCGCCGGTGAAGTTTTGGAGTCTTGGGATGGGATAATGCCTGATTGCGAAGTTCCCATCTTGAGATTGGTGCACAACTTTGGAAACAAGATTGCTATGCTCTGGGACCACTATCATGCTATGTGTTTAGTAGTGGGCGACTCGAGAAGTACTATGATTCCGCTCTAGATCTAGACATGTGAGCTTTCACTCAATAATAAGGCACGGACAGATCTGACCATAACATATAGTATTGCGCATGAATCTGCGTACTTTGTTGCTTCACAGACGGTCAAGTTCCGTTTCAAGTACGGTTCCAACAGACGAATCTGCAGCGATCCAGGAACACATTACAGATATCATGGCGATAACTTGGAAGTAGAAACAGTTGGCAGATCAGTCCAACCGGCTGATCGGAGAGCTGTTCTTCGGCGAGGGCTGAGAGAAAGTGGAGTACTGTGCGCTCCAGACCTTGGGCCTCCCGAGAACGCCTGCGCATATGATTGGGAGAGGGCCACGGTCAGAATTACTGCTATAAGCATTTATAACGATAAGACCGACACTACTGATAGGTATGATCAGTTCCATATGGCTTCGAAGGCATTTTGCCAGTCTGCAAAGGCCATCAATAAGCCATCTCGGCAGATTAGCATGTCGATATAATGGTACTGCTGTCAAGCCTGGAGGGTTTCGGCAGGTACTGAGTTCAAGCTGAGCAGATCTGCCTGTAGTTCTCAACTTGTGCAAAAGTTGTTGACATTCGAATAAACGTTTCTTGGCTAACTTCCAAAGTTCATAGGGGTTCTGGGAGCCTGAAAACTTAGGTTACGGCCTGGTTAATGAAGCTGGGAGAGAAGGAAGACCATCCTTTGTCTGCTACACTCTTAGACACATGCCGGGATTTTTAGAATCGAACTTCACTCACCCTTTTTACATTCGCGATGAACGCCATTGGACTCTGATCAAAAGGCAGTGCTCAGCATTCGAAACTTGGCAATATCGAATAACTCAAAGATCGTCGGTCATCACCACAGCTTCTGGGTTCAGTCAAGCCCTACCAGCAGAACCTTTGCAGCCTTTCCATCAACAACGCCTCGTATCCCATCACGACATGCCCTGCTGATGCAAAGTTCGAACATATAGTGCCACGAGAAAAGTCACATTCGGCCCGCTTTAGAAGGGCCGAAACCGCACACCGCTATCTTGTAGCATGTAAATTGGCATTTGAGAATAACAGAACGACGGCAGCATCGTTGAGAAGAAAGACACGATGAATCCGAAGATGGTGAATGATACTGCTAAAAAGCGCAAGCAACGCATGGTCCATGTGTAAGTTTAGGTCCCGTTGCATAAAGACTCCTCACACCACACCTCTGCAGGTAAACGACTCATGTGTTTCTCCTCATCCCCACATTTTCGATCATCGCTACACCCAAGATAGCCTAGACTGACGCTCTGTAGGTCCCTTCCAATTTTGATGATCATTTGAAACCAATCAAATGCCATGGAGATGTTCCATCAAGCCGGCTACGGCATGATAACCATGGGCCTCGTCATCTTGTTACCTGTATATGTTGATGATGCACGAGCAGACCCGATGCAAATCAAAAGCAAGAAGTACTTGTAGGATCGACGACCACGCGAGTCTTTACTTCCGAGATACTTCGCGTTGTATCGACACCAAAAGGACGTTCGTCCTCGCAAAATCATTCACGGACCCATTTCTCGATTGCTAACACACATTCAACATCTCTCACGCAACAACGTCCTACAAGAACAGTTAAGATGTCAGGCGTCCTATGTACATGGGCGGCCAACATCCCTCGATCCTCCGAGCAGTGGTACGAAGACGAGTACATTCCTTCCATGGCGTCGAAATTAGCACAACACGCGCTGCACTGTGAAGTGGCCGAGGTTGGACTCGATGACGAAGTTGATGGTGTTGGGGAGCGCGAAGCGCCTTGGACATGGCTCACAGTTTACGAGATGGAAGATGCAGGGAAGGCGACAGATGCGACATACGATGAGAGCAATCACCCGCCCATGACTAGCGGGTTGCAAAGCGCGAGATTTGATGTGAGGACATATGAGGAGGTCAAGAGGTGGCAACAGGAAGATTGGGAGGGCGGTATGCATACGCGCAGTTCTGCATATGGTCATCGAACAGGAAGCTAATAGAAGCGCAGATCACGAAGACATAGTCAGCGTAGCCGTGATGGAGTGGCAAGTAGAGGAGGGAGACGAGAAAGAGGTTCTTGACTTCTACCAATCCGAGGCGGCTCCTACAATTGCTTCATCACCGGATGTGCTGAGGTTTCGCATGTTCAAGATCAAGAACGCGACCGTGCTGAAAGTGGACTCCTACGAGACGCTTGAAAAGAAGAACTTGCACACGTATCTGACCTTGGTGGAGCTCGAAACTGAGGAGTGGCCGTGGGATGTGGTTATTGCGTTGGATGAGAAGCCGAAGTGGAGAGAGTACTGGGAAGGACAGAAGGTGGTGGTAAGTAAAGTCAACTCTCGTGGATTCTATCGGTTGCTGACAAAACGCAGAAGTGGCAGAGTAGTCATTACCTCGTCAAGAGGAGCTATCCCAATGCTGATGAAGACGGCGGCGATGATTAGTACAGCCAGTCGTACGCATTGCGAACCTATTTCCAAACTACATTTACGTTGTGAACAGTCTATCGATTAGAAGACATGCCTGTTCTGCAGTTCTCCTCTTGCAGAATTCATCAGTGTCTCCCCACGCTTCTCTCACCTTCCGTTGCAGCTTCCCTCACCTCGTGTTCGATCAAGAGGCCAAATTGCATGAGCAGCTCTGCACTTCTAGTCAGTCTTGCTCCATCTTTCCAATCCTTTTCCTTTCACCAAGTTCTCAGAGACCAAACGTCGACACACCTAGAATTTGTGAGAGTACCAAGCTGCCCCGCTACTATTAAGAGTGTGATGAAAACGTGTGTTGTAACGCTATGCCCCCGATCTGAGCTGACTTTCGCAGTCACTTTGATGTGCAAAAGTCTGAACTCAAACGCAAGCTACCCGCAGAATGCTATCACATCTTCCATGATACTCTACGACGCTCAATCGGCGCAACCCAGAAGAGCAGGGCATCAGCTTGGGGCTGGCGATCGACGATGGCATGGCCTTTCGAGCGTACAGACACTTCCGAGGCGTACAGCTCTTCCGTGGTTCCGAAAGGGAGGGCCATGACACTTCGTACACTGTTTCTTAGAGGTGGAGGATATTTGTGTGGTGTCTGATTCGACGCACGGGTACATGGGTGTCGAAGAATTCATCAGATTCGATGTCTGTGGAAGCGTGGCTGGTAGTGCGGTCCATGTTGTGATTTGCGGTGGAAGTTTGATTTGAGGAGAGAAGAGTATGAGACGCCCGGAAACACTCAAATATTGCAATACAGATATTGTGTTGGCTTTGGTACCATGTTAGCGTTGTCATCGTACCAAGCGCGAACCGCAAGTACAAGTACAAGACACGTACCCATCCCCTAGTACCGAATGCAAGACCCTGTACAGGCACATAAAGGCTTTTTATACTGTGAAATAAGTGATGCTCGGTCTCATGGTTATAGGAGTTGTTCACGGGGCGGTCGGCTCATGATTCCGGAACGTCGTATGCACCCTAGCTTCTACTGACCATTGGAGTGCCCCAGCATTGTTTACTGATGTATTTTTGCAGGTTTCTCGGCGTTCGGCTTGTGGCGAAGACCCAACTATGCTTCAACAGCTCTTATTCCATGCCAGGCATTATGTCTCTATCAAACTCTGAAATCGTTCGCGCATGCTCCTTATAGCTTCGCCTTGAGACCAAAGCTTCTCTCGACAGCCTTCTTCCCCGCTGTGCTCACATCTTCATCCTGCGCCGGCGTCCCCGTACTGCACCCAATAGCGCCGACTACAACTCCATCCAAGACGATCGGCAGACCACCACCAATGGTGTTGAACCTGCCGCCATTTGTGTGGTTGATGCCGTATGCAGGGCCGCCAGGCCATACATTCTCTTTGTATACAGAGGTTGGGACCTTGTGGCCCGCAGCTGTGAACGCCTTGTCGATAGCGATGTTGATCGATGTGAATTTTGCGCCTTCCATGCGAGCAAAGTTGAGCAGATGTGTTGCGTGGTCGACGATTGCGATGTTCATGGGTACACCGATCTCTTTGGCGCGTTGTTCGGCGGCGGCCAGCGCGATGCGCGCGCCTTCGAGGGTGAGCGTGGGTACAGTTTTCGTCGTCATCGTGGATTATATGTATGCGGAGCGTACTGTGAAGTGTTGTGAGCAGAACAAAAGTCCTACATGACGGATAAAAAGTAAGCACCATCGGATACTGCAGGATGCGGAGCACGGCCTCGGTTGACAGGGATGACGTATCATTGCATGGGCGACCCGACCGCCCTCGATATCGACGCGCTACAGGCGCCTTTCCGCTTTCACTTCATCTCTTTCCAACTTTTCCATTAACATCATCGTGTCAGGAAGTAGTTTCAACCCTCGGTAACCAATCTGATACAATTTGATCGCGTCGAGATGCTGCATTGACTGTGAGGAACTAGCAACTTATTTGCGATCACCTCCTGGCGCGTCAATCACGCGTTGCGTCGTTGTTCATGCCGCAGGCGAGCATGGACTATACCCCAGTCGAAACGAGCGCGCCCTGATGCAGCTGAGTCCAAGGAGTACGCGTCCAGAGTTACGATGCAATGAAAATGGGCAGCAGTTGCCAGAAGTACTACGTACAATCGTCCAGAGTCGCCCTACGGGTTACCGAATGCCTGGGAAGCAGCCCAACTTGAGAATATTAGACGCCTTACTAGGACGAGAAGGAGCGCAGTCGAAATGCAGGCGTAGTCCTCAAAGTATTTCTCGGATGGGAAAGAGTCCACAATCTGCGTAAGGAACAAGGTTGAAGTTACAGCTCGACTTCTTGACATGTTTGGCTCCACTTGCATCTTCCTTCTGTTGCTTCTTTCAACATGTCACATCAGCATGCAATGGCGTTTTTTCCTTCGCTAGTTCTACTTGCTTGCCTTGCCAATGGTAATCGCGCAGCTCTCCTTAACCTCGAGCACCTGCCGTTTGTAGCCCCACAGCAACGCATGGTCTTCCGCCATGCTATCTAGTCGAGCGCCAGTCGTTGCGAGCTGTCACTTTTTTTTTAGTTCACTTTACTATTGTTGTTGCATTGATACCGTCGTGCGCTGCTATCATCATCAACATGAGTGGTTTCGACAGTGGCGCGTACCGGTCTCACAAGGACATATTGGACCGCCTGTCTCGCCCTCAGCGGCAGTCGACGTGGATACCAACTAAGTGCGACTGGCGATATGCCAGTAGCGTCTTCGAGCACACCGACTCGAAGACTCACCCAGGTACCAAAGCACATGGGATGACCTTCACTACGACTATTGTGGCGGTGTAGGCCGCTGTAGTACACTGATAGCTACGGTGAACGACAATATAGACCATTGAATTGATGGAATACTGCACTGAGTTCCTATCTAGTCAGGAGAAGACGACTATATACCTGACCTGTAACACACTAGACTAGAGTAGTCTGCTACGGGTATGCTCAGACCTTGTATGGACCGACTGATACCGCAACAACTATCAACGATACGTGCGTTGCAAGGCGCTGAGAAATACACAACCAGCAGCGGCAGTGATACAAATAGTGAGAACGAAGACATTCTCGAAGATACAGCTACACCAGACAGTTCAGAGGGCAGGGAAAGTTTGAAAAGGTCGGTATTACGGCTGCGGCAGAAGATGGCAAGAGTAGGACGAGTGAAAAGAATTATGCGGGCCAGTGTGCAAGATCACAAGCTGTGTTAAACATCCACAAAGACCTTGTCGATCTGAAGATGCATATCCACATCCCGCTCCGCAACATTGTGGCCTTCCCGTTCCTCGCGCTACGCGAGGTCATCAGCGGAGCATTTGAGTTGGGTATCGACAAAGCCGAACGCTTGACAGCAGCGAGAAAGGGCAGTACGAAGACTACGATACATGCGACGATAGATCGCATGAAGCCTGAGGCTACTCCACAATTCGTACTGAAGCGCCCACGACAGGTTGAGCTTGAAGAGATACTGTTATTGTTGCGGTATTAGTCGGTCCATACAAGACCCTATTACCCTTGCTTAGACTGTTATATAGTTGTCTTCTCCTCACTAGATAGCAACTCAGCGCAGTTTTCATCGACCTGATAGTCCTACGCTATCGTTTACCGTAGCTATCAGTATTCTACAGCGGCCCACGCTGCCACAGACAACATACATCACTGATTAAATGATCCGTCACCACCACACTGTTCAGAAGATTATCTCGGACCAATCACAATTTTTCATTACACTATGATCATTTGGACGGTAGGGCAAGAACACGTACACTGTGATGTCCTAGCTACCTTCAACATTCGCAGTGCTTCAAAGACATCCTGCCTGGAGTCTCAAAGGTGACTCGAGAAGATCCTACGTTGACCTTCTTTGGCCCTGTCCTCATTCATCCTCTCTCCACCTGCCACTGACGTTGCCTTAACTACACTCCGAAGTGCTTGGTCGTACCGCTCGGCCATGAACCGAAGGTCTGCAGCCCACCGTAATTCGGGCAGACCCAGATGATCCCGAGTCGCCAAGTACGCATTCTGCTCCTCTACAGGTCTTGCCAACATCAAGTCAGGGTTGCAATCAAAGTGAAGAACCCAATCGGAGTGTATAATGCGAAGTCCATGTCGCCGTGGCACACTCAGCCACATCTGCTCGGGGTCAAGATCAGTACCCATCACGTATCGCAGAGGTACGCTACACGCTCCAGCAATGACTATACCGGCAACAGTTATGCCAGCACCCTTGCGAACGAGGTAGGGATTGAGACGGTAGTCGTCTGTCAGTACAATGCTTACGGATTCATCTATGTATTTGTTAGCCATACTTCCTAGAGGTACACTGTATCGATTTACCTGTGATGATGGGCGACATCCTCGGCGCAAGTACACGAACAGCTCGCGGGTCCAAGTGATTGGGGTTAGCTAGTCCATGTGAAGCCATGATGTGTAGCTTTCGTGTAGCCGTGGTTGAAGAACGGGCTCGATGTGGACGATCTTGCAGAAGAGGGGATTTTCGGAATACACAAGGGTCGCATGCTTACGGGCCGTCTGAACAACTCGTAGTGAAAGCGAACGAACATAGCCTGCAGGGCTGGCTGCCTACTTCACTTCTGTTAACCTCGGTTTACCGCCCGATGTTGTTCACCTACAAGGACTGACAGACTCCCCGAGACTTTCATGCGATGATTTTGATCTGGTCGATGCATAGACATATTTGCTCCAACGACGCCACGATTAAGCATGAACCTTTGACAGACTGATCTGGTCTGTCGCTGTTCCATTTCTGAACTTCATGTATACGTCTCAGCGAAAACGCAATACGAAAACCAAATTCAGTGGCGCTTCAAAGTCGCTGACTTTCCGTGTTGAAAGGCTCAGAGTCACATATTGTCCTATTGTCTTCTGAGCGGCGGGGCAAAAAACATCGGAAAGTGCGAGGGTGAAGGGAGAATTCTTTTGACTGTGTGAGATTTACCGAGAGTATCTGAAGATGATTTGACGTTTAATGGGAGGATAAGAAAGCAAGAAGCGAGTGATGACATCGTGGATGGCAGTCGCGTCACGAAAACGTGCTAGAGACGCGCTAGAAGCACGATGAAAGGAGGAACAGAACAACAACGCTTGTGTCAAAGAATCTTCGGGTTGAGAGCGCGATGCACGTCTCCTGTTACTACTCTCTGTTGTTGCTATGAAAAGACTCAGGTCCGTGACACCAAGATTGAAGTATCCCTTGCCCCTTGTTCGAAGCTGCTCCTACCACCGACGCAATAACGATACCGCTTTTAATTCACGCTCCTTGTGACAACTGTAGGGAGGCAACTCGGCGACCCATATATTTTGCTCGTCGTAATTGTCAGATACGTCGATACTGGGCAGACTTGCTGCTGAGTGACTTTCGTGTAGGTGGTGCGCGTATCCGCACCCAAATAGCAGATGGTGTTGCAGTAGATGCAATAAATGAAGGTGTAACTGCGCAGGGCAGTCAGGGTGGAACTGCACAAAGCAGTAAAATATGTATATTCTGTTCTTGTTGTGTTTCTGTACGGCCTCTCACCAGGCCATCAGCAAGGTCTATTTACATGACGTATTTATCGTGCAGCCAAGGGCAAAAGGTGCTTGTTGGAACAAGCAAGAGCACTGCACCGACACACCTCTCTAATCTATAAACCTTCACAGACGGTCTTGGTAGTGACGGTGAGGGACAGGGTCGACGTGGTGCTGGTCGTTGAAGAGGACTTGGTTGGAGCGGATGGGGAGGGATATGGTTCGCATGCTGACCTCCATTCGTCAGGCTTCCTGGTATCGCAGTCTTTGGCGCTGACGACAGCGAGAAGACGGAGGGAGGAGAAGAGAAGGGCAAGCTTCAGGATTGTTGTATGCTCGATGGTGAGGTCCGAAACAAGATGCCACGGCGGAGGTGGAAGACTTGAGTGCTGCAGTTGATGATACTTAAGATACATATGGAAGACTCTTATGTAGGTATAGTTGCGTGGCCATTCTCAGGCTCGCATGAACCTGACGTTGATCTAGACGTCTTGGAGTCTCACTACCTGGAGGCCCTGTGCAACTTGACAGACCGCTACCGCCTTCCTCAATGGTATTTACCGAGCAACGATTGCCACGCTTGAATGCTTGGTACCGGAGTCTGTGGTTACAGAACATTCATATAACCCATCAGGCCTTCTATACACCTGATACCACGGTATCGCGACTAACCTTTATATGAAGCCTAAATAACCGAAACTCCATTGTTCAGTGACCAATTTCATAAGCTCCTCGATCGTCTGGCCGCAAGACTGTAGAAGATACTTCCATCGTAAATCCCACGGATATCCTCCTTCATCATGCGCCCATCTTCAGGCCAAAGCATCAGGTACGTAGCAAGCCCTAAATACGTCAGTCAGTCGACTAACCTCGCTGAATACTTCAAAATCCCACTCACACTCGAAGAATGCACCACCCCAGCCGATCGGATCCGCAATACACCGCTGCCCCTTCAGCACGTTACTCACATCCCAGATCGTTAGATAATTCCTCCCTTCAGCATATTTGGAAAAGATGTCCTCAAATTTCTGCGGTATGAACCGGCCCTCTGTATCATACGTCCCAGTATCACTTCCATGTTTATCTTTGTGAATATTCTTGATAAACACGCGGAAAAATGGATCAGGCAGCCAGCCCGAGCACGTTGGGTACGAGAAGTTGCCATGAATGACGAGGACAGCTATCCAGGAAAGGAAGATACTGAAGCCGAGGCGGTGGAACCCTATGAATGTGTCTTGTGGCCATATGACGCCGTCGTGGTCGCGATCGAAAAAGTCGCAGTGCTGTTGCAGGACAGTCTGATGCGAGTGTTTCTCAGCCCAGTTGTTGCTTGTTGTGCCTTGTGGAGATTCAGATGACGGTGCGAGGTTCGCACGGGCAGTCCCTGTGTTTGTCAGCGGATGGGTCGAGGAAGAAGGTGGGACTAGGACGCACCTGCATGTTGAAGCTTTCCACCCGAGTTGAGGAAGGGTCTGCGTTCTTCTGTGACGGGCACACCTCGAATCGATCGTACCACCATGTCCTCTCCATGTGTGTTCTGGACGGCCATGGTGGAAGAAATGGAAGGGCTAGTTGGCGGAGCAAAGCCTCGAAACGTGGAAGTGGGTATGAGTGAAGCAGACAACAAAACGGCGAATGAAAAGGGAGGCATTGACGATGCGTGTAAGCTTCCGTAGTATTTACCTTGGCCTCGGACTTTCACATGAAATGTTCACTATCGCTCGATCACAATGACATCATTCCAACTTCATCTGCGCTCGGAGCACCTCCCCGAAGTTACACGCCAATCGATAGGGCACGTCTTATGGAACAACGTTCCGATGTGGATTTTGGGGTATCAGTAAGGTGCGTCCCTGAGTGAATAGACATCCTATGTCGAGAGAGATTTGCAGTTCAGACCTTCAGCGCCTCTCATTTGTGAGTTGTGAAGCTGCCGTTGATCTGTCATGGTTACAAGCTATTTCTGTTGCGGCGTGAGCCGCTGTAGAATACTGATAGCTATGGTAAACGATAACGTCGGACTATCGGGTCGATGGAATACTGCGCTGAGTTGCTATGGGTGTTTTTCAAAATACCTGCCCCAGCTTGGTTAGCGGGCGGGGAAAGGCTTGGGATGATGACAATATCTCCTTACCAGCAAAACCTCATAGTAACAAGATATTGCAGCCATTCAAGACCTTCTGAATCCTTATTTTATTGTCAATTGAGTGTTTGCTGGTGTTGCAATGCCTCCAAAGTCAAAAAAAATTGAAGAAACGCACCGCGCAGCCATCACCAAGCCTGAGCCAGCACCTCAGCCAGCACCACCTAAGAGACATCAGCACAACCCTTCTAGGCAATTTACTCGACCTGATCCTTCACTGTCTACCCCAGCTCTGCATTGGAAGCGCTCATAGCAGGCTCACACGCATCCTGAACCTGAGCCCAAGCCTGCTGAGCCCGTTGCTGCCCCAGAAGTGTAAGGGACACAACCAGAAGCGGAGGTGAACCCTCCTGCACCAAAAGGGTCTCCACTAGGAGACTGAAGGGTGTCCAAAGAGACCCCGCTAAGCAAGGACACCCATATCAAGATCTGTTGGTAGAATAGAACAACAGATAGAAATCTTGATTATTGCATTAGTTGCTCGTCTCTATCGCCCCTTTCATTACAGCTGTAAGGAACTCATCAAGCTAGGCTTAAAACCAGTTGAAGGCTTCCCCTGCCTTTACACCAATCAATGGCTCATCCTGTTCATCTACGTTGATGATATTGTGATGGTTTTTCAAAACTCCAATTGTCAGGTCTGGCTGGTGATATAGTACTGTTCTGGCTAGAGCTCACCATTAGAGTGAGCTGTGATACCTTTTGGCTTGCTTGGCTCAGTGGGCCGGACCTGAGTCTTGACACCAATAGCCAACTCCGCCAACAGTTCAAACAATGTCTCACTGAACTGTACAATCTCAAGAAGATGGGAGACCTAGCTTGGTTTCTTGGTATATAAGTTGTCCAAGACTGTCCAAATCAACATACCTGGTTAATCTGGCATGCCTACATTGAGAAGGTCTGCTCTTGATTTAATATTGAAACACCACCAACCGGTTGATTCCCTGACTGTTGCAATTTGTGCCTTAAGCAAAGCTTGTAGACACTATTTGATTGGTTCTCGGGGATGAGCAGAGGTACAGAAAGCCTGTAGGGGTTGACAGTCACCTAAGCAAGGCTCGGGTGGTCAGGGCTAGACTATCTGGGCAAGGCGGTAATTAGTAGCCTTTGTACGGTACTAAGACTAAAGTCTGTTTGCGTAAGGCCCGTGCTGACCCCAACAACGCAATCGCGTGAGTGAGACCCCAATTTCAACCACCAATAACACCACCAATATGAGAGCTTTTGGCACAGTTATTTCAGGCAATCAAAGGCCTAATGCTGAGCTTTCTGATCATGAACTCGATTATTTGATATCTCAAATGGAGGCAGGGGCGCAGACAAAAGAAGTAGCTGATGCACTTGGCTGCTTGCAACTGTTGAAGTCGTGTCTTAAGCAAAGCTCGTAGACACTATTCGATTGGTTCTCGGGGATGAGCAGAGGTACAGAAAGCCGTCAGGGGTTGGTTATCACTGAGCGAGCTCGGAGCGGCAGAGGTTTGACTGTGATAAACCGCCGTGATAATCAGGGGGTAGTCGTCTAGTCAAAGACCATGGCGACTGGTTGCAATGAGTAGTACAGAGTATACTGTCTGGCTCGAGAGCAGGTGAGATTCCAATAACAAAGTTGATTGACGAGGTTGAACACGATGCCATAAGGGCAGCGTGTCTACTTGCTTATATACTTGACAGGAGGATTGATTGTACTGCTCATATCAAGTATCGTCAGTGACTTGATACTCGGTCCAATCGAGCGTTGTCGACGTGACCTCGATACTTGGTCCTTGGGGTCCTATTGATCGTTGTCGACGTGGGTCCTCTGCAAGTGGGTCGGTATATGGGTCCGTGATGATCGTTTGTGTACGAGATCCACGTTGTATCCACTGCAGTCCTTTTCGTACAATCTTGGTTCGTATAACAGATTTTGCGAGTGTTGATTATACTGGGTATCACTGACGTGGCTTCACAGCTCGGTCAATCGATACTGCAGTTCCTTGGCTGCTCTCGTCTTGTTGCGTAGTCCTGTTTGTTCAGTGTTGTTTTGCGAGTTGTTCATGGATCGTAACAGCAACGTGAAAAGCTTGCCCATGATGCTGCAAAACAAGCACAGCAAAATCAGGCAACCAAGCGCAAGGCCCCAAAGAAGCCTCCTGCAAAAATTTCTGCTAAAAAAGCACGTGTGGATGGTGCTGGAGGTGGTGTTGTTGATAGGTCACCCTCCCCAGTACCTCTTGCCACAAAGCTGCGCACTGGGCGCACTACCAAGCCAAATAAAAAATGGCAGCAGCAGTAGTTTTGCATGACTTACCAGGCTATTGTAGTCAATTTTTATACCATATAACCTATTGTGTGTGGCTGCAGACTCTCATTTCTATGTGTTGTTCAAGGCACTGATGGTGTGCATTGCCCGATGGTGTGCACGGCGTGCACGGACACGGTAACCACTAAAACTTTTGATGCGTGACTGTACTAATCGGTTCATCAACGTGCTGCAATAAGTAAGCAGAGCGAGCAGTCTTCTATAATTGGAAAGTGCTTCGCTTTTCGTCCCAGACCTCCGACTCCCCTTTCCTCTGTGCTTGTATCTCCCACAGCAGGCTTTCTGTCAGAGTTCAGTGAAAAACTGTACGCAAAGGAATAAATTGAAGATTGTACTGAGGTTGTATTGAGTGAAGCTAAAAACAGTATATATAGGTGAGTAGCTGTAAACAACGCTAGTGTGACGTGGCAGTCACTCTCATGGAGGTGAGGTACGACAGGCAGGAGCACCCCAAACCGTGACACTTTCTCTTAGTACTTGCTTGCCCTACGCCCAGGCTCGCTTCCTGCCTGCCACTACTACACTTGCCTGTGATCAATGCATTGGCCTACCAGAACTGCACGTACAATTGGCGCTTCCGCTGACAGAGCAAAAGGCCTTCTAAGAGACAGAACTATATTCTTAGAAGAGCTGATCATAAGTACGCTCTCTACTATTGTCTAGGCCTGCTTGCTAGAGATATATAGAGAAGGTTTGGCGAGCGCAGCAAGCGAAACTCAATCAAAGCTGAGAATGAAGTCAAACTTGACTCAGTGACGTAAGTAACTTTTTGAGATAGCTGGTGATGGTGTCTCTTCCCACCGTCACATACCGCATCCATAAAATCCACATCCTGCTACCACTGAGCAGTCGGCGACATTCTTGATCCATCTGGTCCATCTCTCAGATCCACTCTCGCCTTGCAGGACTTCACTATGGTGCGCTCGGGTGTCATGTCACTGCTTCGCAGAATAGAGCATGCATTGGACGCTTAACTTTTACCCCCCCTCCCCCTCCTCACACGCTCACGCGCTCTTCAACTCCTCCATTCGCTCAGCTAACACCTCCCACCCTTTCGAATCTTCCCAGGCCTCCTTCCCCTTGCCCGTCACGCTCCGAATTGCACTGCGCGCCTTGAACTTCCAGTCCTTCGCCACCAGCTCGCCACTCCCCGCCGCCAATCCCTCGGTCCTCTCCCTCGGCCCCAACGTCTCGTAGGCGTCAACAAGATCGACAGTCTGTTGCACAACGGCATCCCACACCTTCTCATCCTGATCCTCCCACTTCGGCTGGCTCGTAACCGCGCGCCACGCTTTCTCATGGCACTCGAGCGCACTCGTCGGGCGTCCGGAGTGCATGTACAGCGTCGCCAGCACGGCCCACAACTTGGGCGAAAAAGTGATGAGAGGCTTAACGTGCTTTTCGACCAGCTCATTCACCAGGCGCGGCAGCCCCGGTGCAGTTAAATCGAGACCTGTGTCTGGCGCCGATTGCACGAGGTGCTTGATTAAGAGGTCTAGGATCTCGGCGTCCACGCACTTCTCCCCGTCGGTCGATCCGCGCAACTCGCAGATCCGGCGCTGCGAGGTGATTATGTCAGCGTAGCTGGGTGGGGTTGTGGATGCGGCGACAGCGAGAACGTTGGACCATATGCGGTGGTTGTCGTGCTTAAGCGTAGCAGCACGCTTAAAAGCCTTCAACGCATCTGTTCTTGGATGACTCGTCACCTTGCCCTCCACAGCCTCATCTTCGGGCGTTTTGGTCTTGGGGCGTAAGTGTAGGAGGGAGGCGGCCATGTTGGACCATGCTTCTGCGTCTGTCTCGTCGAGTTGGACGCAGCGGCTGAATGCCTCGACGGCGTTCTTGAATTGCTGGAGTTCGAGGCAGGCACATCCTAGAGCAAACCAGGCGGGGTGGTTGAGTGCGTTGCATTTGATGGCGAGTCGGTATGCTTCTGCAGCTTTCTCGTAGTCGCGTTGGACAATGTAGCGTTGACCAAGGGAGCGCTGGGCGCGGGCGTAGCGCTTACCGGATACCTCCCATGCCTTTTCGTACATGGTTAGATCATTGTCAAGATCGCCGAGGATGCAATAGAAGCGTGGCGCTTCGGCAGGTGGTGGATCGCGAGGTGCGCCTTCCCATGTTTCTGAGTCGGGGTCTGCGGTTGAGTCGTTGCCATTTGTGGCGTGGAAGAGTTGTCTTCGAATCATGCGGCGCGCTTTGTCTTCTTTCTCGGTTGCTGCGTAGCAGAGTGCTGCTTCGGCCCACATCTCCAAACGCTCGTAAATGTCGAGCGCCGATCTCAGACCACCGATGTGCACCCAGCGGGCAGCCAACTCAGCCTCAAGCTCCCATCGTGATGGCGAGCAGAGCGCAAAGATGTAGCGCAGTCGGTCTTCTACAGGCGCTGACTCTCCCTCCTTCGCGCCAGGCAGGAAAGCAGTAACCTTTTCGCCCGTCTCTGCGTTCGATGTTGCCTCGCCAGATGTTTCTGCAATGATTTGATCGACAAGAGCCTGGAGTTGCAAAAGTCCACGTTCCATGGTCCTTGTCTTGTAGCCCTCGATCCTACTGCGAACGAGCAAAGCATGTGTGTAGACCTGCCAATTCGAGCTACCGCCCTCCAATACACGCTCAGCGTACGGTATCGTCTGCTCTCTCGTGATGCCGTCAGCCGGATTGGTGTTCTTGATGCTCTCGGCCAGCGAAAGCAATATCACCGAGTCCAAAGGCTCCAAAAGAGGCTGGTTCGCAGGGTCTAGATTTGCAAGGCTGGGTGGGAGCTTGGATTCGTCTTTAATATCCATTGATGCAATCTTCTCTGTGAACTGGATCGTCTCGTGGAGTGTGTCGTCGTTGAGCTCCAGAGCTTTGGGTCCTGATGCCTCTGTAGCAGTTGCCTTCGACTCTGTTCCTGCACTTCGAGCAAGCACAAGCAATTGACTTGTGTCTTTCTGCTGGAATTTCGTCCTCTTTCCCATCAAACCGGTCAACGCAAATTCAAACTTGCGCTCCGCGGTCGCTAGGTCCAGATCAGCTCTTGCTTGCTTGTCTAAGCCATGATGCGTGTGTACAGCTGCTCTCTCCAGAAGGAAGCTCGAGTGAAGATCTTGGATACCCTGAGCCTTCTCAGATTCCTTGACAAGCCTCTCAACATCTTTTAGATAGTCGTATATCGCAGTCTGCAAGCTCGGCGCAGGCTCACTGAGCAACCTCTGGTATGTGAAGCTCACCCTCAAGCGTGCCCATGCTGAGAGCTCGATGAACTTCCGGAAGACCGGGTTGATCAAGATAATATCTGCGAGACACAGAAGCTCGATATTCGGCGTAAGCTTGTATGCTGCAATACCATCTAAGCTCAATGATGCGATCAAATCTTGCTGGATCTTGCGAACGGCGGTGGGATCTCCGGATACATCCTTAGTAAACAGAACTTCAACAGGTTTGTAAGAGAGTGGCGGCCCAGTGACAGTCGATTGTACAAAGGCGTTCAGTGATGCGACGGCAACGGCCCAAAGTAGATGCACTCGGTATTGCAATGTTTCCTTGATCGGCGTTTGCTCATCTTCAGTCCGGAACGGAAATAGTAGGCCGAGTCGGTGGAAGACATAGTCGCTCCAAAGCGTAAAGTTTTCTCGCTTGACGTTCTTGGTCGCATCGTTGTCCTGGTGTCCTAGTAGGATCTGAACTTCCGGCAGCTGACTAAGTGTGAGGAAGTCGGCAGTTTCTGTCGCCTTAAGCACATCCTGGAGAACAGCTGCCAGTTCATCTGGCAGAGTGGTGCGAAAGAACTGGAGCAAGACGTCTCCCATTTTGGCTCCTTATCGATTGTGTAGTGTTGTTGCGGGGTGTTCTTGAAATTTGTTCGAAGATGCCCAATGAGGGATTCGGTGGAGAATGTTGCTAGCGCCGACGCTAGACTTTCATTTCGAATGTGCTAGCAACTAATTTAATGGACCCTGACGTGCCTGCTTCGCAGCCCTACGAAGCAGCACGACAGTTGCAGCCGCCCTTTTGAAGGCCCTTCGGAGGATAACATCTCTCCGAACAGAACGTAAGGACATCAAGGTCCAATGCTCGATCGCAAACATGCGTCAAGACAACAGAGCATCACAAAGATCACGTTCAATGTCGAAAAAGAAGGATATCATTATGCAAAAGTGAAGCACCTCAGAATGAAGGTACGCGTCACTATCTAACCGGACTAGCAACAGCTAGGGAGAAACCACCGCTCAGGAACAACGACTTCTAGGCTACAGTGTACCCTCAGTCTGAGTCGCTGCTAGACGAAGAGCTGCTACCTCCCCGGCTGCGGCTCCTATGCTTGTGCTTCTTGTGTCCATGACCATGAGCGCTGCCTGCGTATAGACCGCCCACTCCGGCAGAGGATCCAGCGTACGATGACCCGTGGTGCGAGGAGCCATGGTGGGAACTGTGGCTGCTGTGTTTCTTATGCTTCTTGTGCTTCTTCTTCTCTTCAGCCCTGGGTCGAACGTTATCAATGCAAATGAACATGGTTTGACATCAAACGGTAACTTACTTGTCGCTCAGCATATTCGCGCCAACCGCACCTGCGATCAGTCCACCGATAGTACCTAACGCTCCACCACCCATCTTGTTACCGAGGAACGCACCGCTTGCACCTCCTAGGAGTGTAGAGCCAAGACCGCGCTCGCCGTCTGCAGGACCACCTGGCGCACCAGGTTGACCATACTGGCCCTGCTGCTGACCGTAGCCTTGCTGCTGGTGTTGCTGGTCGCCGTAGCCATGCTGCTGCTGTCCATACTGCTGGTTGGGATCATGGTACTGCGGATGCTGCGCCGCTGGTGGGTAGGGAGAGTGGCTGCGGTTAGCATCGTAAGCCTGGTCGTACTGGCCCTGGGGAGCGCCGTGGCCGTGCTGCTGGGGAGCTTGGCCGTACTGATCATGCGCCGGTGTTGGGTACTGGCTCTATGCACTTGTTAGCAGCGGCGCATAGAATATGTTGGCGCATTCATCGCGCATTCGCACTCACCTGTTGTTGAGGGTAAGGGCTGTGTCCCTGACCATACTGGTCATGCTGAGGCTGACCATAGGCCGGCGCTGAAGGGTACTGCTGCTGCTGATTGTAGCCGCCGTAGCCCTGCTGTTGTTGTTGATGCGCACCGTCGTAACCGTGGCCTTGGCCGCCGTAGTAGTCGTTGCTCGACATGGCGATTGTGTTTGGTAGTAGAGATAGGTAGAGAAGGTGTTGTTCAGGTAGTAAGGGAACTCAGCTGCTGCGAGCTGTGCTTATGTCTATGGCGGGGGAGGGGCGGCAGAGAGACGCGGGTGGTTGGTGGAAGGCGTTTGCAAGATCACACGCGCCTTTAACTGCAACACGCCTGCGTCGGGTCAGCGAAGGCGCGGCCATGCCCGGAAGCGCTGACATGGGTGCCATCGCGGCTGAGCTGAGCGCAATCTGGTGGAGTGGGGTCGAGTGATCAAGGAGAGTGCGACTAGGGGCTGAAGAAGTGGCGGTGCAGCCAAGGAAATGCTGCGATTGGCTAAGCATTTTGGTATAAGGCTCCTTCACCACAACATACCCATGGAATGCGACATGCCGAAGTAGGTGGACAAATGCGATGTGGCTCAGTACGTGTGAACTGCGGTTCGCTGCTGGCTACGTCATGGGGCTAAGTCGCTGGTGACCGCCTCATCGTCACTCGACCACCAACAATTTACCGTGTACGACACTTTCAACGAACACACATTGTGGCGGTGTCATTCGTACGAACTCCCTGGATTGATTATGTTTCCTCATACGTGGTCTTTCCGCGATGGAGCCTGATGGAGACTTATGAAGATCAGGGGCGGGTTGTGCGCACTTCCAGAGAACCTCAAGAACGTGACGACAGCAGGGAGTTCTTTAGCTGCGGCTGCTAGACGCGTGCAGTGGACGCGTCTGCGTTCTTCATATAACCTTTGCGATACCGCCTCAACGTTAATACCTCGACGTTGACTGTATTGAGTGAGTCTGCCCTGGGTTTCCTGAATTATTCAGAGATGCCATAACGCATTAGACTAGGATATAAACATCGCAAACTCAAGAATTGTCACATACGACCATCGGACGTTTAAAATAAGTTCTCCTGCCCAACCCGCAGTCTGCTGTGGCGTTTTGAGAAGACCGTTGCGCGCCTTCCCATCCTTTGTATGCGTGCTTTCGAAATACCGTGCGCACACGTGAAGTCGGCGCGTCTTTAGAAACGAGCAGCGTCTTAACAGACAGAAATTAAGATGATAGAATTGAATCGCCTAGTGCATGCAACAAGATTCTATCTCGATTCAGAAACTACTATACAGTGCTGATTAGGCTATTCTTCAGCACCGCAATTCCAGACTCAAACTAATTGGCCGTTGGCGTTGCTACAGGTTTCTTCGATGTGTATGTCGGCTTGAAACCTTGTTCACAGTCAATATGATGATGCGCAAACCAGACCTCGACTCAGAACTACTAACCCGGTACGCTAACGCAATAATCGTTGTAACGCTGTATGCCGGAACAATCACTGTACACCATGCGGTTCCACGTAACAAATCGTCCATGAGTGAGCCCGTGCTTAGTCTCCATGGTGCCACATGGATCTTTTAGGTCTGTACATAGATTACCGTCAGCAGTGTAGTCGGAGAACTCTAGGAGAAGCCCCAAGAATGCATGCCAACATGTATATACGTACGGTTCGTTTCGTTAGCCATATCCCATTTGTTACAGGTTGCTATCTGGCCTGGCTGCCGAAAATGGCGCGCAAATACACCATATTATTGTTTGCAAAATACCTTCCGTACCCCGTAACTTGCGGGGTATATCAGTATGGAAAACTCTGGTTTTTCAGAATTGAGAGCAATTACGCCGTACAGCGTTTGTGCAGCGATTATTGAAGCCTTTGAGTTACTTGTGATTGAGCTATCGCGATAGTTTATTGGTATTGTAGTTAGTTGTTGAGGTGGCCCGCCCCACTGGCTGCAGGCTTGCTCCCTTGACTTTGCAAGTGCTTCTCGATTGCATCCGAGGCGGAGTCAATAGTACTCAAATATATGTTCAAACTGGAGTTGATCTAAAGACAACAGCAGCTCGGAGATGCAGTCTGGCATACTGGGCACAGCCGTACGCGCCGCCTTGTGTACAGCGTGGGCGGCCGCGCTCGCTTTGGACTCGACACAGGACTCTGCTGCGCGAGTACCTTGCCGGGAGACCTCAGGCATACCTTGAAGAGATCAGAGACTGGCTGATGGACAAATTTGACATCGCCATTAACATCGCCACTGTGTCTCACGAGCTCAAGAAGATGAAATGGAGTTGTAAGATCGCGTCAAGGCAGCGGTGGAGCAGTCTGACGCTCTGCGGCAAGTGTTTCTTGCAAGAATCCAGCAGAACTACAAAGCGGAGTAGATCATTGCGGTAGATGAGAGTGCTTGCAATGAGCGTACTGGCAATCCCAAGTATGGTTGGGGTCCTGTTCGCAAGTCAGTTACACTTCAGTACTCCATGGAACGGTCAGAACGATGGAGTTTGCTGCCTGCAATGACTATGGATGAATACCTTGCGCACCACATCTTTCAAGGTGCAAAAACTGTTGAGTTCATGGAGGAGTTCTTGCGAGGAGATGTGCTGCTGCACTGTACACCAGGGTACGACGTACTGTTGATGGATAACGCTTCCATCCATCTGTTGAAGTCGTACTTTAAGCAAAACTCGGAAGCACGGTTCGATTGGTTCTCAGGGATGAGCAGAGTTTCAGGAGCCGTCTGGGGTTGGTTGTCACTTAAGCAGAGCTCATAGTGACGGGAGGTAGTCATCTAGTCAAAGACCGTGGTGACTAGTAGCAACGAGTAGTATAGAGTAGACTATCTGACTCGGAAGCTGGGTGAGCTTCCAATAACAAAGTTGATTGACAAGGTTGAACACGATACCATAGAGGCAGTGTTCCTACATACTATATACTTGAACGATTGTCCGGATTCTTCGTAGTATCTCAAGGTCTCATGAGATCCTATACCGGAGTCTCATGGGACTCATGGGATTACATGGGAATCCAATGGATTCTCATGGCTCGCTTACTTCTATCTCATAGGACGCTAAACTACTTGTATCGTCCTAGCGTAATCATATGGGTCGTGGGGCCATTGTGCAACGAAGCGTGGCCTCCCTCGCGGTCGTCCTTTCGCATGCAATAACACCCAACCAAAACCCAACGGTTCCTCCTTTGCAGTACGTGCTCGTAACACCGACCTCAACGCGCTCGTTCTATCTGACAACTCACGGGTAGCGGCGATTCCGGATACGGTAGAAATAAGGATTTTCGTGGTGAGCGGCCGAGTCAATCAAATCAGCTCTAGAGACTTGATTGTTTGGTAGTTTTGAAGGCGTGGGCTTAACAAATTTGTTTAATTAGCTAACCTAATAAGGTAAGACCTGAACTGTTTGACCTAGCTCATGTTAGAGCTGTGACTTGCTTGTTTGGCTTGCCTGCAATCAAACTGATGAAACCGCTCTTGGACTGTCGCAATATCGTCCACAGTAATGCCTCTAATGCCGCTCAGAGTCTCTGACATGCTCGGCTGTATTCCTATCCGCTTACAGCTCTTCAAATACTGCAACGCTGAGAGCGACTCTGGCTTCATCTGGAGCTTCCGCGTGCCCAGCATATCGCCCAACTCACTGAAAGTTCGCTCGCAATCAGCGGCAGCTGCTGGAACTTATTCTTGTCTCATAACTCACGATCATGTTTACTTTCTTTCATTAACGCAAAGCCCCTCAGGCTCAGTACATGACGCATAGATACAATGCTATTTGGCTTCTTTCCGTGCGACCTTCGGTTGCCCGCTCAAATAAGACTGGGTATAACATCCCTTGAGCTCATCACCACATTGAGTTTGTGAATATACTCAAGCCCGCCATCTTCCGCGAGATCTTGCTGGTTCCAAGCCGTCTGCACCAGTGATCTAGTCTCCAGAATACTGTTCAGATGAGGGCCTTTCTCCATCTTTGTGAAGACGTTGAGGACGATCATTCGGTCTTCGTCTTTCATGAGCTCGCAGCTGACAATGAACAGTGCGAAAGAGCACCGGCATGACTCCAGCTGTGCGAAAATGGAGAGCGCCTGCCTTGTCCATGATTCGAGCTTAGTCGATTGACCGGAGAAGTTACGTGAGACGCGTTCGAGGTAGATAAGGCCGGCCAAGCGAGTGACTTCGAGAAGGTGTTGCTCGTGATCGACTTCCTGTTTTGATAACGCATCCAAGCCAATGGGATACGAAGAGACATTCTCAAGTGTCAAGCGCAGGTTGTCAAGATGTCGTTGATACTTGGTCGAGAGATAACCCGGATCGGATGAGTATATGCCAATCTCTGACACCTCGGCAAGCAGTCGGACAACTGGGTGAGCATGAGCAGAGATGCCCAGTATCCCGCGTAAGAACGAGGCTCGAGCCAAGACGTATTGCATTGCGCATACCTGCGAGCCTCTTGGGTCGAAGCCAAGCTCGTTGGCGTGTGCCTTGATATGTTCGGGTCGCCAATGACGGAAGCTGAAGCGTGCCATTACGTCGAAATAGTAGACCCATCCCAGGATGATTGAGGCTTCACCCCCGAATTCACGTTCTTCTTCCTTGAGTGCATCTATCACTTTCTTGCTACCGATGAGGTAACCTACCCAGTCAGAGCGACACTCAGAGTAATTGTCGGACGTTTGCTGTAGCTTGACATAGTTAGCAAAGTTATGTTTGTATAGATATGACAACTACATACGCCGAGCACGCAAAGCAGTAAATTCGCAACAACATGCTGTGCGCCCTGGCACATAGTTGGATCGTTGTCTTTGATAAGATTCCGCAGTGCTGCGCGCTTTAAGCGATGTACCTCGACGATGTCATAGCCGCGGTGGTAGGCTGCCAAAGCAAGGATTGCATGGTACACAGCTCTCGATGATCGGGTGCTGTCATACAAGGCCGAACGGATCAAGAGGAAACTAAGCCTCGTTCGATCGATGGACAGCATAGGCAGCAAGCTTATGACTACTGAGTCGACTGTGCTTTGTAAGCTAGGTATGCTACGAGCTTCTAGCGGGTGTTTACAGTATTGTATCAACTCCATGTCTCCAGCTGCTACATGGCTAGGCTGACAGAGCCTCAAATCTGAGATATTGGGCAGAACAAGTTGCTCTCGTTTGACGCTATTGCCTTCTGAAGATATGTTTTAGTCGTTATACGTAAACATTCAACCGGCTGCATACTGACCTTCGCCTAGCACTCTGCTCGTAGCAAGGTGTAAACGCACATCTGTCGACACAACGTTGATCCACTGATAGTTCCCTTTCCTCAAGATTGGCCGATTAGGATTTGAATGTTTGTTGCCGACTGATGCACGGTTGCAGTCTTGTTTCGACCACGTAAGACGTACTCCATAACCTGCACAATCTCGGTTTGAATTTGTGCATCGGAGGCATTTTGGAACAGTTCTATCGCACGAGACCTTTCTATCTGTGAATTTCAATCAGTCGCTAAGCTCTCAACATCCACGGTTTCAACATGACCAACCTTTACAAGTCCAACAGCCTTTGAGTGCCATTTTTGGGTAGATGATGCTGGTGCACACCAAAGGAGACGGGAGGCACACATCTGCGAGCAATAGTGGACCCCTGAGGCATCTTTAAGGAGAAGCACGGACTGCGGGGCGTAAGGCACGCTGTGGAGGCTGATGGCATGAATCGACCGGCCACGACTAGTGGAAGCGCTAGAGCTCAAAGCGGTTGCGAAGCAAAAATCTGCGAGCTTTAGCCCCGCCGCCCTACGCTAGTCACTCCCATCGCTCACAGACATCACTACGACAAAACATTCGGACTCGTCGGCGGATCAATATTCAGTCCGCTTTCCTGTAGATGCCATAGACGTTTGTAAGCTGTCCCGAGCCTTTACGGCGTCGCACAAAGGGTTTTGACCACGCCCCGCACACGACGCTGTGACTAGTCTCGGCGATATCGTCTAAAGACACCTTCCTTCATCTCAAATCAATCAAATACTGTCGTGGCAAAAGACCCAGTGGGATTTTGGATCGAAATCTGCGAGCCACACCTTTCGACCTTGTATCGAGCTCGTTGCGCTCTTCCCAAATAGACTAAGAATGGAACATTACATGCGAGCTCGGCGGACAAACAAAGCATATATATGGGAAGAACAGAACACTCGGTGCTAACAGCTCCCTCATTCTATAAGGTCTCACATTCTATCAGCTCTCTCATTCTATCAGCCCCTTGTTCATCTACCCCGTGTCCTCGATTACTAAATTCACAGCATGCCTTCGTACGTTATCACGGGAGTTTCACGAGGAATCGGCGTGAGTCTACATCAACAATGTCCATCTGCCTAAGTCATCCTGGCTGACTTTTACGATCAGGCTGCATTCCTCAAGCAGCTCTCTAGCAACCCTTCCAATACGGTGATTGGTCTCGTTCGCAATGTGGCCGATACGGAGGCCAAGATAGCTGCATGGAAAACACCCAACATTCATATTCTTGAAGGCGATATGAGCAGCTACCAGTCATTAAAGGTAATGACTCCAAGCTCTAAAAAACTATCAACGCTGACATATGGCTCAGAAAGCCGCCGAAGCCACCTCGACCATAACTTCCGGCAGTCTCGACTACCTCATCGCAAACGCCGCCGTCATGTCCTCGTGGGCTCTTTTCGATCCCCTATCCGTTCTTGGCCAAGACCCAGAGCGCCTTACTCAAGATCTGAATGAGGCTCTCACCACCAACGTAATCGGCAATATCCATCTCGTCAACTTCTTCATGCCACTTATCCTCAAGGGAAGCGTCAAGAAAGTCATTACCGTGACCTCTGGAATGGCTGATCATGATATTGTGCTCAAGTACGGAGTCTATGAAGGTGGACCTTACGCAGTCAGTAAAGCGGCGATGAACATGGTAACTTCAAAGTTTCAGGCCGAGTTTGAGAAGGACGGCGTGTTGTTCATAGGAGTTTGTCCTGGGTTGGTTGATACTGGACTGTATAACAATCGTATGTACCTGGAGAGTTCTGAACACAAGGGGATATTTGCTAACTTGTCCTAGTATCCGAGGAAGACGGTCAGAAGCTCATGGTCCAAAGCTCCAAGTTCGCAGGTTATGCGCCGCATTTCAAGGGCCCGGATACACCAGAAGACGCAGCCAACTCTATCTTGAAGGTTGCTGAGAATGCGAGCGTAGCCAACGGAGATGGTGGCGCTTTTCTGTCTCATTTCGGCAACAAGCAGTGGTTGTAGGAATGAGTCTGAACTTATGTAATCTTGTAGAGGAATAAATGGCAAGATATAGATAAGGTATTAATCAAATATTTACAAGTGAAGATCTTTTCCTATCGCAATGAACGCAAAGACATGTTCTGGGGGTCGTTGCAGTCGCGTTCTTAACGAAATCCTTCAAGAAGTCGCCTCTACCACACTGCAATCCCTTGACGAATGCTTTCGCCACAACATCCACGCCCGCAGGACTGGTGTGCGTATGATCCTGAAAAAACAACTTGTTCGTCGCCGCTATGCTAATGCTCTTGAAGTAATTCGCCGTGTACGCGCCGTGATCCACATACATAGCATTACTCTCCAACGCCTTGGCCACATCCCGCGCACTTTCTTAAGGTCTCGTTGTGTAAGGTAATCAAAGAGTAGGCACAAGATATCGACTGGGAGGGATATATTCTCCATAGCGATTGTGAAATGTTCTGGGAAGAGAGAAAGTATGAATATTGGAGGTATGCAAGATGCATGAGTCTAGCTTAATCAGCTACCGTGTCCGTGCGCGTGCCGACCAGATTCGCGCGACGACCGGGTTTTACTAGGAAAACAACAAATTATAAGAAGTTTAACCTTGAATATTTCTACCAATAGTAGAGATGTTAAGATACTTTCTGTTAGAAAAGTGTTTGATTTTTTATTATAGATCCTTAGATCCTTTACTTATCTGCTACCTTAGTATTAGAAGTATTTTAATATCTTTGTCAGTTCTATTTCCAAATAGGCTTTTCTCGAGTTAAATCTGGTTGGCACGCGCACGGACACGGTATGGCCCACTCACCCCGCAAAACTAAAATCATTGTATCGACACTTCGACTAGGATAGTTAATGCGGCAAATCACATGTTTCATTTAAACTACTAGTCGTGATCTGCCTTATTTGCTTTGCGGAAATTGACATCAAATTGCCAAGTTGAACCCTTGAGGCTCATTCACTTAGCATTCTATTTTTGACTGTATATAATGACTTTCACAAGTTGATGACCCCCCTCTGTCTGGAAACTATGATGTTATCTACCCATGAAGTTGTTATTCAGGCCAAGAAGCTATATCTGTCGGGAAGCGTGGACAGTACGCATGTGGGAAGAATTGACGGATTGAACTGAGGCTGTATATGGGTGAAGCTACGAACAGTATGTATAGGTGAGTAGCTGTAAACCACGCTAGTGTGACGTGGCAGTCACTCTCATGGCAGGTGAGGTTCGACAGTCAGTAGCACCCTAATCGTGACAAGGAGACCCCAAACCGTGACAAAAACACATGGTGCACATGACCTCCTTATTCCATAAGCCGTCACAATAATCCGTTTTTGGTCGAATGAACAGACAGACACATGGCGTTGAGATGCTAGCTTTTGGAGGACAGAGGGACTTGCAGACATCCTTGGCAGCCATAATGAGTTTAAAGTGGGAAAGCAGACATCACGAAAACATGATGACAGTGCTTCGCTGTTATGAAGTTTCGCCGCAAGGTGCAGATTTTGTGTAGCAGCGAGTTACAAGGAAAGAAAGTGAGTCTTATACTCCAGAACAGTAGAAGCCAGAAGCACAGTACAATTTTCGTGTACTTTGATGCAGGACAACTACTGACACACGACATGTGCTGAGCTTGGAACGCTTTTGTGGCGGCGTGAACCGCTTGTTGAATACGATGGAATACTGCGCAAGGTTGCTATCTAGCTAGGAGAAGACAAGATATACCTGTCCTGAAACATGCTAGTCCAGAATATTCTGAGCAGCAGCAATCAGGCCTCATACGGACCGATTGATACGGCAACGGCTTTTGGTGCCTACTCCAAGCTCGTCATAGCTTTGCGGCCTTGTAGCTTTTGAAAGCTAGACGAATTTGCAGACATCGTTGGGTTCTATCATGGTTTTTGTGCAGACAGAATAGGTTGCTAGAAAGCATGTCGTCGTCGACAAATTCGTTTGGTCACTCGAACAAAAGATCAGATGCTGCAAGGGGCAAATCTGCAGGAGACAGGAACGGAATTTACATGCTAAGGGACGAAAGAATTGGAAAGTGACGCTACTGCGACGTGCTGCCGATACAAACACAGATATCTTCGAGCACATGTATAAGTCATGCTGAGCTCCTATTCGGGCATCGAATAGCCAACATAGAAGACGTGCTGTTGTGTTCCATGAATCGTCGCACGCCACGGACAGAGTTGTTGATGATGCCCACCTTCGGAGAGGGACATTTGTGAAATTTTCCGCCTTTCCAGTTGTTAGTGTTAAGTTGACGTTCAAGAAAGAATCACAAGAGCGAGAGACTGCAGGTTTTATATTGCAGCCTCTAAGTTCAACGAGACTCCTACAAAGCCCATCGTTCCAGATTTGAAGCGCGAACGCGCATGGACAATGGTGCAGTCGTTTAGGAGAGGCACATAGCAGGGAAGCAGATATGGGTAGTGTCGTGCACGACTTTTGATATGTATTTTGATGAGCAAAATGGTGGAAGAGAGTGCTATGGATGCTTATGTGCTGTCATGAACCTCGCCAAAGCTAATCAAGTTGATTGTGTCATGTACATATGAAAATGAAGTCAGTGGCAGAAGGGTGGCCAAGGATCGCGTAGGCTTTTACTGTTATGTACGTGTTTTGTGTTGCTGTACGAATGAGACATGCCAGCTAACCGAAAGGCGCACTGTCTCCGTACTGTTGTCCATAACCTTCTCTGTATGTGGGTGACGTCGCTGATCTCGCGGCTTGCGCATGGGGGTTGAGAGATCTTGTTACCGCAGCTGTGTAAGGGACAGACGAGGACACGGAGGGCTGTTGGTGCGTTGGGTACGTATAGCTGTGCATGTGCGGGTTCGAGGTGGTGGGATATTGCGTTGGTTGTTGTAAATCCAACGTTGTTTGCATGTCAGTCCAATGGCTTTGGTTGCTTAACAAAACTTGACTTGGGTGAACGCTAGGATACGTAGGCCAGGGGGCGGTGTTGAAGGACCCATGGTGACCCGCAATCAGCGACGCGTTGGGGTCGTCAAACTCTGCCCATGCCCAAGACATCCCATCGTTGCTTACTGGCAGCATCTGATTCTGCGAGCATGCTTCTTGTGTGGTGTTGTGCATGAGTGGCAGCGATGTGAGCCCAAGTGGGATATCGGATTCCATCTGCAGTGGCGTACCTGGCTCAGATGAGGAGCTCCCTAGGCTGTCATCGTATGGCACTGACTGGGTGGCAGTCCGACGTGCGAGTACCGAGTAGCGGTTCTTGACGCAATTTTTCGACCGATGAGGAAGGTACTGTTCTTGTATATCTTTCCAGTGTCGCCCAAGACGCTCGACCGCTGCGAGCAATGCCATGTCCTCATTCTCACGCCACTCACTACGATCAAGACGAGGATCGAGGGATTGCTGCCATCGTTTGGCGCACTGATCTGCGCTGCGTGAAGACACGCAGGTGGCGACCTTGGTCCATTGCCACCCGTGGTGGTGCACACCATAAGTCAGGAGCTGATCCTCTGATTTTGACCATTGACCTTTTCTCAAGCCTTCGGCTACGGAGTTGTGCCATCTCTTCCTACAGTCCTTGTTCGTTCGCCCTGGAAGAGCCAAGGCGATCTGACACCAATCTCTACCTCCACCCTGTGCTTGCTGAGCATCGACCTGCTCGCGTAGCGTCTGGTCCTCCGCTGATGTCCATCGCCGGGGCTGTCGATCGATGCCTGACATTGCTATTGCAGTGGATGATGGGGCGCGAGATGTTTAGGAACGGATTGACCTCAGATTGAGATCGGAGGATGAGTGGGGAGAAGGTGAAAGCCAAATGAATTCAACGACAGATGAAGTTTCCAACGTACAGGTGGTAAAGCTCTGCTTTATAGTAACCAGCTATGGAATCCGGGGGGAGGTCAGCTTGATAAAGTAGTTGCTTAGATGTTCCCAAACTATGGTTCAGATCTTCTACGTGATGGACGCTGCAAGTCGACCATCCAAGATTGTTCAGCCCGCCGGTGAAGCGTCATGTACGTCGTGGAAGAATCGACTGCCAATACAATGGATGTATCATCTTTGTTCGGGCAGCGATATGGAAATGTCTGAATTGTCATTGGATACCACAACGGTGCGTTGCAACGGGCATATGCGGTCTTGGCTTGGTAACTGTGAAGGACCGACTTCCGTACCTAAACCTTGGCCCGATGAACCTGCAAGCGACCTTTCACGATGAGGAAGGACCTGCGTAGACCATTGACCGGTGCGGTCCAACGCAAGGCTGGAGGCGGTCTGTTCAAGAAGCATCGTCAGCTTATCGTGCCACAGCGAAGATCGTCGAGACAGGGCTGATGAGGCGTTGCAGATTTCTGTAGCGCACCAATACCAGGTTCGAAGGTAATTGTTTGTTTGCCAGTAGAGCTGGAGGTTCAGGGCGTACGAAGAAGGTCGGTGTAGACAAAGATTGTGCGACTCGAAAAGAGCCGCGCGCACGTAAGCTGTGACATAGACATGTGGAGTAAGCGAACGGATGTGACGCCTCCGTGTGGGAACAAAGCAAATCGCAGCTTAATTCCTTTTATGCGTGCGACTTAGAAGAGACTAGTAAAGTGAGCTTGAGCTTGTTTGGTACGCCAAGCACAGTCAAGTTTGGCAGGAACGGTTGACGAGCGGCTGAGCTGCAGGTACCAATCACCGAGTTGAAGTTGAAAATGTGGTCTTATTGTTGAGTTGAGGCCCATCGCTACGTGACAACGGCTAACGGGGTGAGTTCGAGATTGCGCCAGTTTCTCGTGATGCATCCGCTCCAATGAAAAGTGTGCATGTGACGTTTAGCATCATGCAAGTGCTGCCGAGACGCGGTGTATAGCGGTGACGGTTGTGTTACCATCCTCGCATACCAGTTTTTGGCTCCGTTCATGCGTTGATTCCAGGCTCTGCCAAGTGCTGCATGTCAAGAGAGCGTAAAAGTGTACACAAGCTTCATCCTCATCTCACAAGGCGGGGAACGGGGCGCGAAGCTTCCGTGCAACCGTATATGCTGCGTGTGTTGGTCTTTCGCTCAGCTGCGCATTCATCCATACGTTGCTCGATGCTGGATTTACGCGTTTTGCCGCGCTTGATTTCGATCCTCAAGGCTTGCCCATGAGCCTCTGGGCCTTTTCCAGAAGCACCTTGCTCTCACGCCCCAGCTTCCTCTGCCCGTTAGGACCTCCTCTGGCCTTCGCCATGGCCTTCCTGAAGCGCTCTCGCTCAGCGATCTTCTTGGCGCGCTCCCTGTCTGCGTCTTCCCTCGCCTTCTGCCGTGCCTCGGCCTCCTCTTTCTTCCCGCGCGCAATATCAGCTTCCTTTTGGAAGGGCTGCGACCGCGGCCGCCTTTGTCGCCGATCGAAAGATGATACTGGGATTACCTTCTCAGGCTCTTCGAGCATCTTCACTCGGTCGGGATGGGGTTCGAGCGTCGGTTCTGGTACAGGCTCGGTGGGCTCGTCATGGTCGGCGTTGGCTTCAGCTTCACGGTCGTAGACAGATTTGCGCGGCGCTTCTTCTGCCTCGTCCTCTCGTGCTTTAATCTTTGCATACTGCTTCTTGAGCTTGGCCTTATAGATGATGTTCTCCTTGATCTTCTTCACTGCAGAACGATGAGCATTTTGACCTTCAGAATCAAATATGTATAAGAGAATATACCTTTGCGCCTATGGGTGCCGTCAGGCAAGTTGGCCGGGCCAATTTGAAACCCCTTCTTCTGCTTCTTGACAGGTCCGGCTGAGCCGCCGTCATGTGCGCGTTTCTCTGCCATGTTTACAAGTTTTGGTGTTTCATTATTTTCTTACACGCGTCCATGCACTGGGGAAGAAAGCGCGAGCGGAATTCTTCCAGTCTTGGCATTGTAATCGATAAAGAAAGAACCGAGGACAACCACTCACAGCTCCCGCAGCGCCGCAGCGGAGACGATGCATCCACTTTGTGCACCATGAAGGCTGAGCGGGCGTTTTCTTCACCGCGGGAGCTTCCAGGTCTTTGCAGAGGGGAAGCAGAGGCCGTTTCTCGTCGTGTGACCTTCCCGGAGCAGACAGACGGCCGGCCAAAACCGGTCTGGCCGCAGCTCCGCTCTCTATCAGCGCTCGATAAGACTCATCGACAGCAGTCGAGCTTGCCCTTGTCGACGTCATCCTTCAAGACCCTGCCGCCATCACCTCCGCACCTTGCGCCCGGAAGCTCTATAGCGTTTCGTCTCCAAGTCTGAGCGGCGTGTGCACGGTGAGGCGGCCGCTGGAGCCAACGCATCCTCTGAACTGAATTGAGTGTTCCTCGTGTCATTCGCCGCCGGGCCAGCAGGTGCTCCAACCGCTTGATCCTGCCTGCCATCTCAGTGCTCCACGCTTCTCGTCACGCTTGTTACACCCTCATTACCTCAGCACCACTGTTGAAGTCTCGTCAAATATTGTACCTATGTTGTCTTCAGCCATAAGTCGTTTCAAATATGCCGATATTTCATGATCCCCAAGACAGTCCGCCCCGGCGGACTGCGTCACGCCAGATGTCGTCAGATGAAGCACCAAAAGAAGGAATGACAAACTTCAATGAGGATGCATCACCATTGGGCAGCTTGTCTTTGGAGAGTATGATGGGTTCCGGCACGGCACACGAGCCAGTCAGTCACGGGTCACGACCAACTTCGCGAGATCGCAATGGCTTGATGGAAAGGATCAAGCGAGTGAAGAGTCCTTTGTGGCAGTTTCGACAGGACGTAAGTAGCTGTTGTTTCTTGCAGATCTCCAGTTGTAGTAGCGAGAAGTCGAATTTGGAGCGTTAAGCTGACTATGTGACCAAAGAACGGTAGCCGCCACGATCGTAACCTGCAATCTTCACGACCGTCCTCTCGAGACCGCCCAAAGACGCCCAGCGGTCCTACTAGTGACCTCCAAGTACCGTGCACGGCGTCCCCTGATCAGGAAACTGATCACGCATCGGCGGGTCTCGAGATCGCGCGACCTCGCTCGGCCTTGCACTCTGGTGACTTCCGTGAGCGGGAGGGAGGCGCAGACACTGGCAATGTGTCTTCTTCTGCCTTCCTACCAACGTCGCCTGTTGCGCCATGGAAGCGATCTTTTCCTGCCGCTGCCATACCGCAGTCTCGAGGTGCTGCTCAGTACGCTTTCAACAACGCGCTCAGCTACGACCCTCCTCCAGTATCGCGCGCTCGAGCGATTTCGAAGTCGCCTTCGACCTCGTTCACATTCATGCCACCCACCAGTCCATTGGTACAACAACTGAATAATACCGACCTAGACTTCACTTCACGATCGAGCACCAGACGAAGGTCGAGAAGCCCAGATCGTAGCAATCGGCGACATACCTTCTCTCCAGATTCGTTCGAACAGTATCAGACAACACAAACGGCAAGGTCTGCATCTGGCACTCCTGCAGCGCGGCATCTACGACGCGGTGGAACTATTCCTTACCAGGCACATCAACCCAGACGATCTGTAACATCCCTCAGTCAGTTTGAACCGCATTCTAGCCCGCAAACGCCATTTGCCGCCCGGCGACCTTCCATATCAGACGCATCGCCTCTGCAACATGCGCCTATGGTTGGTTCATACGAGGAGTCGATACTTCGCGGCCGAATGTCGACCACGCCTTCGCGACCATTGGACTTTGTCGCCAAAATTGGAGTGCTCGGAAGAGGGCAGTGTAAATCGAGCCTTAAATGTCCACCACACGTAACAGTCCCATTCCCAGCGGTGTTCTACAGCTACAACACAGGGAATGGTAGAATATCTGACAACGAGCCGAGTCCTTACGTTGGTCTCATTGACTTGGAACACTCGTTGCCTCCACCAGTCGATAGCCACGAACCCAGCAAGCGCAAACAGCGGCAAGCTGCCCCAGTGCCGGATCAGGACAATCTCGACTTTCGACTACAGTTTGATGACGAACACACTGGCGAGGGCGGATCTGCGGATCTGCGGCGTAAGGAGAAGAGGAAACGGAGGTCAGCATCACCTAAAGCACCACCAGGTGGTTGCTATCGCATTCCTGCAGAGGGCCAGCTACAGATCGTACTCAAGAACCCCAACAGAACTGCGGTAAAGCTGTTTCTTGTCCCGTATGATGTCTCAGACATGGAGCCTGGCCAAAAGACGTTCATTCGCCAGCGGAGCTATTCAGCTGGGCCTATCATCGACATGCCTCTATCTTCACGCAAGAACTTTGGCACCGATCGACCAGAAGCCGCGCTTAGCAATTCGGATGATCCAAGGGATCGTCCCATTCTACGATACCTTGTCCATCTGCACATCTGCTGTACTGGAAAAGGCCGCTACTACTTGTACAAGAGCATCCGAGTGGTTTTCGCCAACCGAGTACCGGACGGGAAGGAGAAGCTACGCAATGAAATCCAACAGCCTGAGCCGAAGTACAGCACCTACAAGCCATCACGCGACTCGACAACTGCGCAGGCTGCATCATCTCCGGGCGCATTGTCCATCACCGCGAAGGCTCGCAGACGTCAAAGTGCAGCCTGGCCGCTCTCCTGCTCCCAGCAAATGTACGACCAAATGGATGGTCTTTCGCAAAACCCTCAGCTGCCTCCACCAGCCGTACGCTTCACTGGGGGCCCATTGAGCTCGTCAGCATCTGGCGACTACGGCTCAAGCATTCCACTCGTGCAGCCCATTCCCTTCAACTTGACACGCTTAGCTGCGATTGAGTCGCGTCCTGTATCCCGCGAGCGGATGGGCGTCGATCCCAAAAGTCCCTTCAGATCACCACTCGCATCCCCTTCGCCCGGTCTCGGAAACTCCATCATCCACCAGGAAGCCACTTTCGAAAAGCTCAACAGAGGCGACGTTGGTTATGGAGGCAATGCGTTCTCGCCCCTCGGCAGCCCGGCTTCGCCGCCCGCTGCTGGGCTTCTGGCTCAGCGGCTGCGTGGACTTGAAGTGCAGCCTGACGAAGAAGTAGACTGAGCGACTCCGCCTTCTGACCTCTCCCATCTATCTTTCCTTTCTGCAACTTATCTCGATCCACGGTGTTTTGCATACTGAGTATATAATACCCCTGGTCCTTGCCATCGCTTGTTGTGTATTTTTCTTAGGTGCGATCGGCGTTATAAAGACAGGACCGCCTGTCATGGGCATAGTAGGCGTCTCTCTATTGTGATCTCATTGTGGTCTCATTGTATATAGGTTTGTATACATCCCTTCTGAATATGACCTGTTGTTACAACCATGTGTAACCGGATGATCCTTCCAGAAGTCATGCGGAGGAAGTAGCAAGAGCCATGTGGCGCATCTCCTGTGTTATTCAAATCATGAACTTCACGAGCAACTTCGAACCTACCACATGAGTATTTTGCGAACCTCGAGATCATCACCAGCGGTGAGCATGCACACAACTCCAGGGTCCAGTCCGCTGCATAACTTGTGAAAACCGCTCGAACTAGACCGCGAAGCTTTCATCCGCTAAAGCAGGAATTAACCACTAGTCTATACGCTACGCCGCTAGTAGCTTCCTCATCTCAGTCTCCACTTCAACCTCGAATCGCGCAATCGCTTGATCGTCTCAAACCTCACTGGCCTGGAGTCGCAGTGTGACACAAGCTTACCATGTCGCCCAACGAGCGCACACCTCTACTCGGCGGGAACCCCCTTCCCTTCTTGAACTCGGATTTTATTGGCAACGGCAGCAATCACAAACAGGATATTCATCAACAGTTTTGTTTGCTTGTCGGTGTGCCGCCATCGAACGGGCCAAGAGATGCGCCTAAACCGCCTGGCTTCAAGAGGACGCTGTATGGCCGCGCGATACATAAACGCAATGCGCAAAATGCGACATACCTCTTCACAGCAGCCCTCTCAAACACCCTGCTGCTCACTCAAGTCGTTCTCGGCGCCGCTCTGACAGCACTCGGCGCCTCGGAAAGCTCTCACATCCTAATCACCGTCTTCGGCGCGCTGAACACCATCATCGCGGGTCTTGTTGCGTATCTGAAGAGCAGGGGCCAGCCTATGCGCGCAAGGATGTTCAGAGATGATCTTGATCGGGTGGTGGATGAGATGGAGAACAGTGAGGTGATGTGGTTGGGGATCCAGCAGGGCGTGCATGGGTACGACGAGATTGCTATCGATGATAGTGTGAGTGTGAGGAGTGAGGTCGCGCGGTTGACGAGGTTGTTGGATAAGGCTGTAAGGAGCAATACTATAAACGACCGTAAGTTTACACTCCATACAAACAGTATCATCGAAACACTCCTACTTCTCCTAAGCGACAATGGATAAGGAGGGACGATATACTGACAATCCCCAGCGGACATGTACATGAACGCTGTTGGCGAAGGCACGAACGCCGCTCTCCGCGCCCGCCCCCCACAACCCCAAATCATCTCTGCGCCAGAATCATCTCCTAATGCCAACGGTAACACTTCTGCGCCTGCGAACAGCGCCGCACCTCCCCCAGCAGCAGATCCGGACGCAAGCCCTGCGACAGCACCGCCCAAGCAGAAGAATCAGCCGTCGAGCCCGCCACCAGAGCTTGCGGACGAACCGGCTAAGCCAGCTGAGTCGGTCAAGGACGTCCTAGTATCTCCGCCAACACCTGCGTCTGCGCCAAGTTTATCGCCTGTGATTGCTGTGGATGAGTCGCCGAAGGAGGGTGCGATTGCTCAACTGAGTGAAAGCGCTGTGGATGGGGGCTCTGAGGATGGGGAACCAGCAGGTGAAGATCTTGAAGCAATTGTAGCGGATAGAAGCGAGACGAGCTCGAGCGAAGATGGACTTGTGAAAAAAGGAGAGGAGAACTTGGATGGAGTCTAGTCCTTGGTTGAGAGGTGCTTTTGCAGAGTTCAAGCGATGAACCTTATTGTTACCATGTTTACGCGTGTAATCATCAGGCAGTAGGTGTGTACTCGTTTCTGATCCGAGACGTATTGCAGCATTTGAGCGAGTCAGAGCATCTTCAAGTTTTACACAAAATTGAAATTCTAGTATTGACAGTCCGCTTAGAAGCTGCTCATACCTCCTACAAAAGTGGCCAACTCGAAATAGATTATCACCTGCAATCTCGCTTGCACGTAGCACAGGGTTACACAAAGGAAGCACATCGCGCTTCACTGTCACGGACGGGCGCCCTATCTACCGCCAAAAGACTCGCCTTCACTTACGATGGGGATGGCCGTTTGCAGCTGCGCCACACAATCCTACCTACACATTATTTGTGCACGTAAATTCCACGCTCACCAACTCTACTGTGCCTTTCCAAAAAAACTCAGTCTCAACCACACCAACACCACCACCGCAATGAAGACATCCTTCCTCACCACCGCTCTCCAGGGCGCACTCGTCACCGCACTCCCAACCACACTCCTCACCATTCCCACCATCCTCGAGCCCATCGAGATCCGCGCCCCCGCTCTTCTCGAAGTTCGTGCAGATGGCCGCGCAGCCACTATCTACAAGTCGGCCAACCTCAGCGGCGAGTCTACTTTCATCCCCGCGAACAACTATTGCACGAATATTGACAATATTTTTGGTGGGTTTGATGGCAAGATCAAGAGCTTGGGCGTCGAGAAGGGGAGCAAGTGTGATTTTTATCAGTGAGTGTTTCCAATGCCTTAAGTTTTGATGTCTAGAGGAAGGAAAAGTTGATAGGGCGTGGGCTGATAATGAACAGGGAATCTGGCTGTGGTCTCAATGATCTTAATGGGGGCGGCGTGGTGTTGGAAGTCGGGTTCAGGAACAAGAAGGATGAGCGACGGCAGTTGGGGAGTTGGGAGGGGAGGATTAAGAGTGTATACTGTCAGCGTCTTTGAGCGTAATGCATTGTCACCGAGGAAGCTCGAAAGTGGCATCACTAGGCTGATAGGACGGGCATTACGTGTGAGGGGCGTCGCAGGTGAAGGAGAGTGTTGAAGGTGATGGAAGAGAGTCACGCTGCATCAGTGCGACTGGTTGGATACACGCAGACTTAGTATCGAAAAAAGGATATAAGATGTCTCACTTCCTCTTCTTCGCAAAGTCACCAACAATTTGTACTTTTGACCAACGCTCTTACTCCGATTTCAACGACCTCCTCTGCTTACTTCTCTTTCTCCTGCGCTCGTCTCTGGCCACGCATCATCTGTTTCGCTGCAACGCCCTTGTCTTTCACACATCACGTCATGGCACCAGGCCGAGAACCACCTGAAGCACCTTTTTCTACTAGGCCAACTATACCGCTGGACTGGCTTCGCCGACGAGAGTTTGGGCTGCGACATGGCCCAGACACCTTTGCGCACCTAGATGCGTATCGCGGCGAATTTTCCAGGCTGTTAGTTCTGTCGACCCTGGTAAGCTGCTTGATCACGAAGTTTTTGGTCATGTCTCACTGTACGAAAGTCAAAGCTAAACACCTGACTCATGTCGGGCCGTTGCGGTGGCATTGCTGCAGACCAGCTCGTACGGAAAGAATATTGAATTCGGTGAACAAGTATGGGCTTCCAAATTCCACTCTGCCAAGGTGCATTGATCTTATATTACTATAGAATGTCAAGCCATAGACGATGGAGTCCATCGTTACGGGTCCTACCCTATCCATCGGCATTGGCACGCTCCTATGGCTACCACTGTCTTTGGCATTAGACAGATGACCTGTCCTCTTGATCACAGCGCTCATGATGCCTTTGGCAGCACTTGGAGCTGGGCTATCGACGAACTTCCACGCGTTACTTGCCTGCGTCTGCCTTCTTGGTTTGGAGCAAGGTTTCTCGATCACTTCTGTAAGTTATCCCTCTCGCCAAGTAACAATTTACTGACTTCAAGAGGCTTTCTTGATGGTGATAGACATGACTTTCATCCATCAGCGACCTTCAGCTGTTGCACTTCTGTCGTTTCTGCTCGGATTGCAGGTACTGGCTTCCTGGCGCTTGTGTCGTATCTCTCGCCGCCAAGCACCTGGCGACGATTCTATTATTGTTATTAGTCAATTCCAATGGCCGTGTCTTGCCTCCTAGTCTTGCTGCTTTACCCCGAGACATGTTTCAAGCGGCCAACAGTCGCTTTCAATGGGCTGATTCTCCTGGAATCAGCAACTGAGAAACTCACCATCTACAAGGATCCTGACGCTGATTCATATATCTGCTGGACCTGACGTTGGATCGCGGTTCTAAGGAGACGGTATTCAGCAAACTGGGTAATCGCCTTCGTCTTTCGCGATCGCCGGTTACTTCATGAAAGTCAATGGGCTACTGATATGTCCATATGGTCTATTGTGCAGTCAATCCTCTCATCTTCTGGATCATTCTTGCTTCTTCAATACACTGGGCCAGCATACTGTTTATTGGGGCTACTTATACGAACCTCCTGCGGTCACCCCTTACAATCTACCATCTGCTCTGGTTATCAGCAACAACACCTCATCGGCGGTAGTATGCGATCATAGTCTGTATTACCAGGCTGTTGTACCGAGCCGTTGCGAATGAATGATAGGGATCTGGGCTTTGTGCATAATCACTGTCGGAGCGTCCTTTGCCACGAGGTCAGCGACCAGACTGAATGTAAAAGATACGAGCACTACTATTGCGTCGAGCTAACTACAAGTAATTGAATCCTTGTGCATTCATGCGGGGCGCGATCCATATTTCGTGACTGATCTGGCGTTTCATCTCCATCGTGGCTATTATGGCTCATTTACCCGTCGTGTCAACCCTCATCGCCGCACCCTCCTTCGCCCTTCCATCAGCATACTGCTGGAAGTGTCTGACCGGAATCTTTTGCGAATACAACCAGTCGACCTCATCTGTGGTGAAGCCATGCAGATCGGGTACCAAGATCCATGACCCGATGAAGAGAAGCACCGAGCTGGCCATAAACACAAACCCAGTGCGAGTGCCCAGATTACCAGCATCTGTGTTGTACATGTATGGTACTGTGAAGGTGAACAGCCATGTCACTACGGCGTTTGAGGCCACACCGATCGACTGTGTCTTTGCTCGTAGGCGATAGGATGAGACCTCAGCGGTGATCACCCATCCGATGGAGGTTATGGTGAGAAGTTGCCATGCAATGAGTGCATTCCTGTCAGTTATTGTCAGTATTAGTGTTATGTCAAGTGAGGACATACTTACATCAGGATAGCAACGGCCCACAGACTACCTTTGGATGTTGAGTAGTACAGACCACCAATGGCCGCCATAATCACTACATTGACAGCGACACCGGCAAGCCAGATCGAGCGACGACCAAACTTCTCCATGTAGAACCAGCTGAACACGATTGCTACAATGGCTAGACCAAAGCCTCCGATACCGACATCGAATGCGTGAACGGCTGGAAGTCCAGCGATGATCAAGACGTAAGTATTCTGGGACAACAAGGACGCGCCGTTAAGTCCGGCAGCAAAGAAGAGCCAGAAGACTGTGAAGGTTCGCTTAAGGTTGGTGCCCCGGAACAGTTCGAGGTAGCCAGCATTACCATGTGCTTCAGCCTGCGAGCGCTCCTGCTCCACTTGCTTGCATAGGACCGCGAGGCGGGCATTGATGTGGTTTTTAGACCCGTAGAGGCGAGACAACGTCTTCTTTGCAGCATCAATCTTGCCTTTCTGCACGAGAAAAATCGGTGACTCGGGCATGATGAGGAAGGCCAGACCAGCAGCAACAGGCCAGATCCATTGCAAGGCGAAGACTGTGCGGAAAGCCGAAGGCGACATGTTTTCGATGTACACGCGGATTGTTATGAGGCCGATTGCTTGCATCAAAACCATGAAGAGGACGATGCTGGACTGGATAGGACCTCGAAGACGCAGGGGCGAGATTTCGGATGCCCAAGATGTGGCCGATGCGAAGATGCACCCGATGGCTAAGCCGTTGATCATCTTTCCACCAAGAAGCATTCCCCGGTTTGTGGCAGCGAACTGAACACCAACGCCCACGGTTGAGATGCAAGCGGCGCCTACGCAGGCCCATTTGCGTCCAATCCGGTCAGAGAGAAATCCGATGCCAAATCCACCGATGGCTTGGAGCAAGTACGACATGGCAGTCCACATCGACGCCCAAATAGAAGGAACGAACAAGGATCCTGTCGCTGTGCGCTCGCCAAAGTAAAGGATAAAGGCAGGCATGGAGATGGAGGCTCCGTTGATGACGCTGTCGTATCCAAAAACTCCTCCAGCCAGGAACGCAGCAATCGAGTGTGCCAAGATTAGTTTGTGTGATATGGCCGAAGCCCACAAGGAACTGTCGCGGTCTTTTTCAACAAGGCTCTCACCGAGCTGTAGGTCGCTGTCGATGGCCACATGTTCAATCATGGTGGCGCTGGAAACCTCCTGCTTTTCGAGTTTGTCTTCCATCGTGTACATAAGATGGTTATTGAGGCGAATAGACTGCGGATGTATAGAGTGATTAGAGGAAGTCGTGATTGAGCTACTGGCCTTTGTCGAGTCGTGCTGCAGGCTGCCTGATTGAGCCAGAAACAAGGGCCAGGACCTCAATATAACAACAACAGCATCCCCATTGTGCCAAGCTCCTTTTGCGGAGACGAAATCTGGGGTATTATGGTGGAGAATTGATACCTGGGGAGTATTCTAGCACCGAATGATGATCCGAGCATTGCCAAGTGACTGAGCTAGTGCTCATGAGTGGACAGGGTGGACAGGGTGGACAGTGGACGCAATTCCTCATTGGGCAACACTCCCTGCAATTTTACCGGTGCCACGACGTGGCCCAGGTTGTCTACAGGAAGGACCAAGCCCAGCTGGTACGCTTGACTATATGTCGAATTTCGATAATCTTGAATAGATCGTGATTGAATAGTCGGGTGGGCCGTGCATCTCCTCCATCACTCAGAGACACCTGGGTGTAGATGTAGAAGTAATGCCAGGTTGGATGATGCACCCCAAGTTCCCAGTTGCACCAAAGACTGAATGGCGTGTCTGAAGATCAACTGGGGTGCATCGAGTGTAGAGTCATCTGTAGTATGGCCATGAATGAATCCAGCCTCAACAACCTCGACCACAGAATGTAAAACGCTTTGTTTGTCACGCAGTCGTTGGACAATAAGCCTTTTCTGGTGTAAGGATGCTGTGTGTGCGAACGCCCAGATGATGATGTGGCACAAAAAGAGTCCGATCAAGTCGTAAGGGTCGCTTTCACCTTTGTTGCACATGATGATGCTGATGCATGTGGATGCGTCTTCCAGTACGCGCATTGCTTGCTCTGGGCACTGAGAAATCCAGATGACCAGTCTACTCATTGCAGCTTTTGCGTCTGTAGGTCCAGATCTTCCGAGACAGTCTTGAATATCAGACACAGGTAAGACCAAATACATTCGTGCCAAGTGATATGTGATGATGGAACAGCGTTGTACGTGGGATGAAGTGGTGTCTGGGCGACGAATCTGATTTTGCTGATTGTATGAGTCATTCCAAAGGTCCAGCATTGCCAGCAGATGTGCTGCACGGCTGCTTGTGTGGTAGGAATTCGCTGTCGTTGGGAACTCTTCTTCGTATGTTCGTAAGACTACGAGCGTCTCTTGATAGTGGAACACTTCTGACATAACCGCAGTCATGAGCAGGTTTGCGCTCCATGTATTCACAATGGGGAGTAATGCCGAATCCTCGTTCTGGCTTAATCGTTCTGATGTCGACAGAAGTAACGCAGTAAGGGACCCGAAGACAGGGCAAGAAGGCGCAGACGCAGATCCTAACCGGTTCCTCCAAGACCTTGCAGTTGTCACTGTCCAGAAATCTTGGTCACATGGGCACTCCCACTTCCTGATATCCGCCATTGTCAACATGCCACTCATGCCGAGAATGGCTGGGAATTGCGAATCAATCATGTACACAAACCAACGCAATCGTTTGTGGCTTTCTTGTGTTGCCCAGTCCAACCATTGCAACTCAATCGCAGAAGAAATTGTCAGGCGCGCTACCGGGCTCACGTATTCATCAGTGTTGTTTTGATGTCCTTGATAGAGCTCGTGGTTCTGAGGATTGTTGATGCTTGGCAAGCGCCTGATGTAAGTGACAACCACAGCGCGTAGTGCCTCGGACAATTCAAAGGCGCGTTTGTTTCCGCACCAGAGACCCATGTAGCAGACGAGCGCAGCGGCATAGATGATCAAAGGCTCTCGCATGAGACTGTTGTTTTCCTCTATCAGAGCTGAAAGATTCTGCCTTGTGCGATCGCAGACAATGATGCCAAATCTTCGTGTATGGCGTAAACGGCTATAGCACGAACCAATGACCATCATTATAGCCAGCAGTGCCGGTGGTAGAGCGTCGAAATCCACCGTCGGTCGATGCAGGACTGGCGCTTGGGGTAGAAATCTGTTGAAGAAAAGACTGATGAAAACATTTACCAGGGATAACTCAGGCAAAGTAAAAGTATCTTCGCTGCTCAGCGGTCCTCTAGGGCTTAAGAAATCTTGAATACGTGATAGAGTACTTTGAGTTATCTTGATGCTCTGATCAATGTTCGCAAAGATTGGATCATCGGCTGGAAGCACGATTGGTTTCGCCCTTGCTATAGGCTTCGATCGTGGATCCCATGCAAACGGCAGGCGATCTTCATGTGAACTTTCGTTCGGCGGTGATGCGCATCGAGAGATTCGACTTGAATGGTCTTCAGTACATTCGTTGGCTTGTGTTCCGACCTGTGACCTTCGTGAAAGTCCATCGCCGCTTGACCGCGAGCTTGCGCCATCGTTCAGGGAAACGTTGTAAGGGGCGGCGGCGGTGTTGTGGTCCAATACACCCAAAACGTCCAGACTGGTTAGGTCATGGTCAACGGTACTCCACGTTTGGAAAGGCGGACTGTATGCAAGATCGGTCTCGCGCAACGCTGCGAAGAATTGTGACGAAAACCAATCAGAGGTATTTGCAGTATTGTCCAGGTGATAATTCCAGGGTCTCGCAAAGGTCGTGTAGTCAAAGTAAGGATTGAACTCCATTGGGTCAGTCCAGGAACCGTGTATGAGGCCCTCATCGAGCGCTATTGAGTGCTCTTGTGCTTGCGGTAGTATGTTGACATTATCACCGCTCATCAACACAGGAATAGTTGGATCGTTCAGAGACGATGAATTCGGCAGACTGTTCTGTATCTGTGCCAACGGCGAGTCTTTGCAAGTGGATATACTCCTAGATACTCGCCGTGGATTCGAGACTGCTCTTGCAGGCGTGTTTCGTTCATGAAGCAGCTCGTGCTTCTTTCGCAGATCGCTCCTGGTGAATTGCCTCCCACATATCTGGCAACGATGTTTCTGGATCGAGTTGTCTTGTCATCCATGGCCCAGATCAGCGAAGACTGACTTTTGGTCATGCAACCAACAGTACTCACGTGTTTTCATGTGACGAGCCAGGTTTTCGGGACGAGTAAAGCGCTTGTCGCATCGCTGACAGGCCAACGTCCTAGGACTGGCCGCGGCGCCGTCCTCATCGGACATGGGACAAAGAGCGACGTCCTCTCTGCAAATTTTGTTGCTTCGTACGACCGTCCACCACCGTCTGACGACCTTCAGGTTGTCAGTTTGCCAGTTCAAAGATAGTGCGGGCTTCAGTGTAGGGCTGAGTTGTGAGGTTCGTGTTCACAAGTGGACGGCGAAATGTCCACCTGAACTAAGACCAAAAAACGGGGTCCAGTTTCGCGCTACTCCATTCGGGCCATGGTCCACTTCGAATGCGCGTCCACCAACAATTCTCGATGTCCACCTCGTAGAACGCGTTGCCCGACGCTTGTTTCTCCACACACAGCACGAGCGAACTACCGTTGGGCAAAAGAAGTCGTGCCGACGCGCTAAAGATGCTGATGATGTCTCAAACACTATCCTTTCGGCGACCCACGCTTAGGGGATCTTTAAACTCGTTTGTCCTGAACCCTCCATGTCTCTGAACATCACTATGGCTGGTAAACCTCTAATTGAACCTGTGCGCATCTTGCGACACGCTGGGCGTGTAACACTTGGTTCCAACGCGTCGAGTTTCATACTTCAAAATGACGGAGTCGAGTCAATTCAAGCAGAGGTTGTATTGGACTACCAGCAATGTGAAGGAGGTCAACCAATCTTCGAAATCACGTCTGCTTCAGGACATAGCTTAATTGAAATAGCTGTTGTGTACAGCGAGGGTATTGAGGGCATCGATCATGCCACAGGTTAGCCAAGGAGACTACAATGCAATTTCATGTATGCTAACAGCGAGTAGGTGATGGGCCCTTCTTCCTCTTTTCCAATGCTATGGACACATACCGCAGTACCACCCTCAAGGTCCCCGCATCGACAACCTCGCAAACGGTCAGAGCTGTTTACGCTCAACGTTCGCAGAGATATCAGAAGATCGTCCTAACCACCCCGAACTCATCGATTACGTTCTCAAGGATCGCATTCGAGCGCATTCGACCCAGCGCCTCTGCAAAGTCTACATTCACCTGCTCCAACTCGCTGCTGAACAGGATTTGGCAAGATGGCGTCAAGACCGTGGACATGTGTACAGTCGCTAAGGGCGAGACGTCCTCTGCCTGGGAGGTTACAAAAGAAGGTACCAAAGTCCGTGGTCAGCATTGGGCGCCGTGCCGACTAGGCACACGGTGGGCGGACAAGAAAGTGCGATTCCAAGTTCAAATCGGAAGCGGAGGCGTGAGCTGGGCCGTCCACATGGTTGCCAATGGCCTGATCTTCTGCCTGGATGCGACAGAAAGAGTTCTGTACGCATGTGAAGGTCTCTCTACTGAGTCAACAGTCTTTCCCGTTGCAGAAAAAGGGCGGTGGTCAATAGGTAACCTGAACTTAAATGGCTGGCTTAACGTTGAAACAGTCACTCGCGGTAGCACAGTGACAGTCTCGGTACAAGGACGTCAATTTCCTCTCATTGAAAACCTCGACATCAGACCTATTCTCGGCGGAAGTGCTAACAACACCGGTTCCGTTGCGTTCGGTGGCCCTTGTCAGTGGATTGGTCTATATCGCCATCTCGAGGTGCACGACGCAGAAGGCAAAGCCCTCTACGAGAACGCCTTGTTACTTGACGATAAAGAGCGAACATTGGCTGACTTCCAAGTTGGAACCAATGCGCTAGCTTGTACAATAGATGGTGCGAAAAGAGACAGAGCTTGCTTCGGTGGGGATCTTTACGTTATGGGGAGATCGATTGCTCACTCTACCATGACTTTCGAAGCGATTGCAGGTAGCATCGAGTTGTTGACGAGTCACCAAACCAGCGATGGATACCTGGGGAATCTGTGTCCGATCCAGGCGCCTGTTCACGACAGCCATGAGGAGCCTCCTACATATGCCTTCTACTCATTGTCATACGCATTACTACTCGTTGTAGCCATAAAAGACTATTGGCTGCACACAGGCGACGAAAAGACACGGACGAGGTGTCTCCAGCCGTTGAAGAAGTTGATGACATACACCGAGCAGCATGTCAGTCAGGGCGTCGTCATCGCGCCTCCACCCTTGTCTAGTAAGTCACAGAAAAGTCATGAGTACCTCTGAGCTAACTCTTTGTGGTGCACTGGTTTCCACTCGGTGGTCCAGTATTTGGTGCGTCAAGCGCGCTGAACAACGCATACTACGAGGCGTTGCAGGCCATGTCGATCTTGTCGACGGATGCAGCTACGACGGACAAGTATCTGCTGCAAGCCCACAAACTTAAGGCCAACATGCGGCGACACTTCTATGACCCCTTCACCGGTATTTACCACCTCGATAAGAGCCTCCCAGCCAGTGGTATCTGTCAAGATGTCAAGGCTCACGCCATAACTCTGGACCTACTTCCTCACCACACCGACGATCTCGAGCACTTGACCGACCCAGCCTCCGATTTACCTCGTGCCTTTCGCGGTCTTGGCCACTGGGACGTAGCAAACGTTACCAGTCCCTATGCAACCGGTTTCGCAGTTGAGGCACTGTTCTCTCGAGATCGGGGCACAGAGGCTGTCAAGCTCATCGAGCGTGTTTGGGGTCCCATGGCCGACACAACGAGCCCGGACTACTCTGGTGGACACTGGGAAGCTATGAAGCCAGATGGGACACCGCACGGTCATGACACTTCGCTCATGCATGGTTGGTCGACATGGCCAGTATCTCTTCTTCCCAGATACCTGGCTGGACTACAGCCAATCGAGCCAGGATGGAAATCCTTCAGCATTGCACCAGTCCTCACTGGCCTGACGGACATCAAATGCACCTTAGTGACTGTTGCTGGAACCGTTGGTGTGGAACTTGAGATTGATGAGGCGGACGGCCACGGTGCACTGAAGGTTCTGGCACCCTATGGCGTACGTGCGCGACTGCAGTCACCCCAGGGTTGGGTCATCCAGGGGCCAGAGGTTGTTGAGGGAACAGGTGTGTGGCAGAAGTTCTTCTTGTCCAAGGCCTCTGACGACAAAGACTTGGATACGAAAGAGGCGGTTCCCCAAACATTCGTCCTTCCCGAATCACCCTCTCGCACAGGCGAGCGGCAAGAGAGTAGTCTACCCAGCAAGATCCGCTCACTGCTATCTCGCTTCACAGCAATGCGTGCATAAGCTCGTCTGTTTCCCTGGTCAAGTAGACTCGAACACTATTGCGGAGACCCTTGGGTCTGGAAACCATGGCTCTGCTACCATCAGATACCGTGACTCATCTGCAAGACACATTCAATAGTACGCAAAACGGCAAAGGGCTTCCGAAAATATTTATTCTTAGTTGGAGTTTCGTCAGGCAACAACCTCCGGACATCGTCACAAGAAATGACCCAGATGTGTTCGATATTGATGTCGAAGACCTCATCAACGAATTTGCACCTGCAAGAGTAGAGTGTATTCCAGGTCCATACATTAAGTCCATCGATCTCGAGACTGTCTGCGGCGTCGCATAAGTCTGGAACTGGGACCAATACTTCACTAGGCCACCCAACACGAGTACATGGTAGCAAGAAGCCTTTTGATGGGGTTGACATCCGGATGCTGGAATAGAAAGGAGCTTGTGCGGGAGCTCAGCATCGAAAGTACCGTCATTCTGGCTTTTGAATGGGTGCTGGCTAGTTGTGGGTATGCGTAGGAAGTAATGGGCAAAGATGGTTCTGCTTCTCAAGAAAGGGCCGAGTAGTGCGGCCAATCCCTGAGTGGATGCCAATGCGCCTCTTGGAATTCAAGGAGCTGAATGGCTATCCTTTCGCCTACACATCTGAGTAGAGGTCAGAGGATTACGATATGCAGACAGGGGTGATTCGTCACTGCAGCTCCCAACCAAGGTTCAAAAGACCCTGGTATTGAAAGTTGCGATTAGTCACAGCCACAGTGTACAAATCAAGAAGGTATATCGCATTTCACGCGATTACCATGAAAATCAATGAGGATCTCTCGCACACAAAGATCTTAATCAATCCCAGATTACAGCGTCACCGCACAGCACAATTAAAATTGCAGTCTGCCCCACACTACCCCAGGCTCAATCACGGTGTCTTCAGACAGCACCGCAATGATAGGCCAAGAGAAAAGATGATCTACGGCGAGGAAACACTTCAGCACGTTTTCGAAGCCTGGGAACAGGACGTACGCTACACCGCACGTACCGATCACGAGCTTAACATCGCAGAAAACCTACTACTGGACATGACAAAGGGAACTGGGACGGATTTTCGGCTGACAGACGAGCCTGGCTCATTTATCAAGCAGTCGTCATGCTCTTCTAGCGTTTTTAAAGCAATGCGGCTACATTACATGTTTCGACAGAGGAATAGTGACTTGTCAGCCTGTCTCTGGGAGGAACATTCAACGCCTTCCAGAATGGGTTACCACCGGCCGCATGAAGTTTGAGGCAACCTCGTCTCACCCCCAGGGTTCTGAGCCCGACATGTGGATCAAGGAGAGCGAAATAAACGACCGCTCATGTGGTTCTGGGAAGCGTAGCCTCTTCGTATGAGCTTACTTTCGATCACTCGATCGCCACTTGGTCTTTGGAAATTCCTCAAGGGTTTGGCGCCCTTCTGGACATCGCAGGTTCTTCGGAAGCATCGAGAATTAGCTAGCGAAGTAATTCAGTTCTTAGTCAGCATGTATATCTCCTCTACCTCTTTCTTGTTACCACACAAATGCAGATAGCGGAAACATTGCAAGACGTTGTGGTCCGTCGCCAACTCATTACATCTACTTGTCTATTTACTTGGAACCCTTGACTCGAAAAGAAGTCCAAAAGATAGAAAAAATGTTGCGGCGTGGGCCGCAATAGAATACTGATAGCTACGTAGGACTATCGGGTAGATAGAATACTGCGCTGAATTGCTATCTAGCTGGGAGATGACGACTATATACCTGACCTCAGGCCAGTTATCTGTCACACAATAGACTAGGGTAGTCTGTCAGGGGTACAATCAGACCTTGTACGGACCAACCGATACCGCAATAAAAAACCAGACGAGTGGTAGCGGTCCTCATTACTTACGGTATATAGCTGCCATGCCCTTCCTGCTACCCCAAGTGTGCAACATAGGATCAATCGACAGATCAAACGAATCCTTCGGTCTACACAGATAAAACGACTTCCGTGGTATTGCCTGAGCTTGCTTCGGTTGTTCCTGCGCATGCTGCTCCGCACGTCGCTCTTCCTCAAATTCCACCTGTCGAGGTCGCACTGGAAGCTTATTACCCACCAGCTTATTCGCCTGATATAGTCCCTCCAACTGAACAACGCTTCATGTCGTGCAGCCCTTTGCTTTGCATCCCACTCCCTATCAACTCGCTCTCGAGCGAGAACACGGTTGGCTTTGGCAGCAGCCTCTGCCATTTCGATATCTCGAGCTTTGCTTTTGGCTTCCCGCTGTTCGCGGAAGGAATGGAGCATTTTTGAAGGCCCGCCACGGCGGTAGATGTAGACCCAACCGGTGATGAGAATTAGGGCGATGGCGCCGGCACCGAAGAGGAAGCCGATAGCTTGCGGAGAGTAGCTGTCGGGGATCGTGAGTGATCCGTACGCATGTGGGAAGAATTGCAGGATTGAACTGAGGTTTTATTTCACTATTCTGTGTATTTAAATATGTTGTGGTCTCGGTTGAGACCCTATTACCCTGGTATATACTGTTCTGGAATAGCGACTTCCAGGGCCAGTATATAGTCGGCTTCTCCTCACGTAGTCTAAACCGTGACAGTAGCATACTAGTAGTAAGTTACTATACTACTATCTGCATGCAGGTTTGCAAAGCTTTTATGCATCGTGCTTATGGTTGTAGTCGTACAGATGTCCACAGCCACCACTCTACACAGCCAGCGTCACGCTCCTAGATCTAGGCTCTCTAAACGCCACCGGTTCAACGTCGCTGTAGAAGACTCAGTGTCGGGATGACTGCGCCCAAGCACCCGTGCCCGCATTTGAACACATTTTTC